CTGCTAGCCGAATTTACCGCTTTGCTAGAACTTTATAAACAAAAGTGCTTAATCATGACGCAGTAGTGGTAATTGGTAGAAATGGCAGAATTCGCAAACTGCTTGCCACGTTTTAAGAATTGCATTACATGGTACCATGCACATCGACCTATTTTCACTTAAAAAGACATCCCAGAATTGACAAAAAGGCATTGCGCCCCTCTTGACTTTATCCTGTACCTGCTAAGCCTAGCTAGTAACCTTTACGCCTTACCAATGTCCAAACTAACCCGTTACCATATTCCAAAGATTAGCCAAATTACTTTTAATATTTAGAGCCATAAATATTTAAAATACGAAATTTATGCATAATAAAACACAGTATTTTTTAATAAAATGACAACAAAGTATTGTTTACCATAAATAACTTGTCCAGCAAAAAAAAAAATTGCCAAAATCCGTGCAACCGTGTACCAAAGTAGCACCGAAGGGTGCTCCTTGTATTAAATTATCGCAAAGTTGTTTCATTTATGGTAACCTGAGTAGTTGAATGTTATGGAAACCATATTATGACATAATTGGTTGCATGACTACCATTATTTTTTGATGACAGGAAAAAGATTTGTAAGGGCTTGTGGTGTGTGTTGGTTAGGAAGTACACTGCTTGTTTTGCGGTTTAGATGGTAGAATGGCTGAATATTGTGAGATTAATTTGAAGTTTCTGTATGATTTGGTACAAAAATGGAAAAGTGCATTAATTGACTAGTGTGTAAATGAAGGTTTACTTAATAGCCATTATAATATCCTGTTTGCAGGAAGTAAATGTGTATTGTTTTTAAAATGTAAATGTGTATTGTCGTCAGAGGATATTGGCACTACGGAGGATATTTTTTACTGTTATTTTTGTGAATTTATGAGGAGACTTTGATATATGGATTCTAGTCCAGATAATTTTAGGAAGTTTTTTGATGCTGTTGAGGAATTTTGTGTGCCACAAACTGAAGGACTCGGGTAGATATTTGCTTTGTGTAGTGCTTATATGCATAAGATGAATTTCTTCTTTTAATGTTATTTTGGTGTTTGATTTTAAATGTAGTTTACTGAGATTATGTATTTTTTGTATGGCTCTACTGTATAATTGGGTGCTCCTTTGACTTTTTAAGTACAAATTGATCAATGTGTACATGGACGAAATCTAGGGAGTGTGCAATGCCATGTTTGCACAATTCTCTGATATACTTTTCAAGTGAAAATACATCGATGTGTACATGAATAAAGGGAGAGAGCAATGTAAAGTTTGTGCAACTCTCTGATTTTTTTCAAGTGAAAATAGGTTGATGTGTACTTGGATACCGAGTTTGTGCAATTCTTCGACTTGTTATTTTGTCTTCGTCAATTAGATAATATCGTGTGGCGACAGCCACTACACAAAGCCAAAATAACAAGTCAAAGAATTGCAGAGAGTCAGCATCCATGTACCACCAAAAATCATCAATTTTTGCCAAGGAGCACTAGTAAATATATTTTTACCCCTTTTACTAAAATATTCAGTTGTATAATTATACTTAAGGCTATCTATCAGTTGTGGATAATTTTGTTACAGTACTTTGGCAAAGGTACTAATGCAATTTCAAACTTGATATTATTACATAAGATATTCAACAGATAAATACTTACTACTTTTATAAAAAATATATGTAACCTTATTAAACTAAATATTCTTACACTAAATAAGAATGATACAACATCTGAAGTGCTGTTACTGCTTTACTGATTACACTAAGAAACTCCAAAACACCTTTAGAATCTAGAGACTCAGCATTTTATGCGTGTGTGTGTGTACAAAAAAAAACGTGCAAGATAATACATTCAAAAGTCGTTAATTCGGACACCCATAATCTGGACCTCAAAGCTACAAACTTTCTGCGTGTAAGACCTTTACGGCTGCGAATACGTGTGCGCAAAGTAGTTGACAAATGCGTCTTTAATGTATAACGGACAGTATAGCTAAGCTAAAATTATCTAATTCAGTTATGTTGCAGATTGCGTTGTTCCTTAATCTTCGAATTGGATTCGGCTTATTATTTTTTACAGACTGTTAGAGCAATTTTAAAAGTAAGCTTGAACTTTCGATTATGTCAAATAGAATTTCTGATATATATTTACTAATATGTAAAGGATCTACAAAGAGAAAGTATGTTCCAAAGTCTATTAAACAAAAAATGGATAAAGGCATATCCTTTGTTTATCTAAACTTTAACGTTTTTTTATCTAAACTTTGTTTACCTTTAACGCCGTGGCGCGCAATGAGTTGGAAGTTGATCTGTCAGCACTATCCTTATCTTCAGGCAGATGTTTTTATTTTATTTGACTTATAATTCCTTACTAAATGTAGTATTTCATCTCGATGTACTCCGTCTATGATATGATTTAAATCAAATTCCTCGTCATTATAAGCTTCCGATAGCGAAAAAGTGACAGAGTTATTGAAACAAAAAATTTCGATTGACCAATTAGTCAGTATTCTCGACACAGCATTATAGGACTGAACAGCGGAACTTTGTAACTGAACAAGAAATGATGTCTGTTTATAGAATTAAAGAGAATGTATTATCACATAAAAAACGAAGCAACTTAAACAACTTACATTGAAAGACATGTTTTAATAAGTAACACATAAATCTTTAAGATTTTTTTTTTTTTTTTTTGTAAATGGTTGATACCTTTTAGATCATAATTGTTCTTTATTTCATAAATTACGGTTTCATATTTTTAATTTTATAATTTCTGCATGCCATCTTACCAGATTTAAACTGATGATCTATAATCCGGAAAAATAGATAATCCGGAATCATAGATAATCCGGAAGTCCCGACGAGTCCGGATTAACGAGTTTTGACTATAATTTAGATTTCTGTGCATAACAAGTACTACAGAAGCAATCTGACCAATATAGGACTCGAGCAACATAAATAAATTTAAATCTCAGCCAAATTAGATTCCAGATATTAGGAATAAACTGTTACAACTTTCAATATCAAACAGAAAGTGAGGCATAGAACAAACAGCCTTAAATTGAATTCCTTCTATTTCAACATTTAAATACTACTACACTACATCGTTTCCACTTCCTTTAAAACTCATTCTCACTCAAGCAAAAATGAGTAATTTTAGAAGTAGCTAAATCTTGAATGGCAAATTTTATAACATAATTAAAATTTTTATTTTCCCAACAAAAAGTTGAAGACCTTCGTGAGCAGCAAATTTTCCCGTTACTTAAAAAGGATACAGTAGCCTATAACATAACATTATTGTGTAAAATGAAATGTACAAAAAGCGAAAATTTTCTTTTCTATACACGTACAAACACTCAATAAGATAAAATAATAAATATTCAGATGATTTAATTGAATGATGATTTAGGATAAAAGAAAGCTGCTTATTAGAAATTTATTTGTGAAGGTTGATTCTGGAAGGAATTATTTTATAATATATCAAAGAGACTTGTATTATCCTGCTAACCAGCCAAGTAGCACAATTTAGCATTAATTATGGATAACTGCATACTTTAGAATGTCGCAGCATCAATTGGCGATCGCTGCCGAAATTTCAGCCAGCAGCCGACGGGATAATATGTAAGTACCGAAACGGTTGTGGATTCAGAACTTGAAGCTTTTTTTAACCTAATGTCAGCAGTAGTGTTCTCAAAATATATCTGGACTACATATAAATGTAGCACACATTTTTAACTTTAGCTCAAACTCCACTGTTCAATAAAATTTTCAAAAATGTCATGCATTTTATCCAAACTGTGAAACTGTAATTTGCATGATTTGGTAACAAATTTATATTCTGATCACGACCAGAAAAATTTTATATGGCCACTCATATTTCACGTATATAAATCTATAAGCAGATGTAACAGAATATTCCATTTATTCTAATATAAACAACAGAAACACGTATTAAAAACAACAATATAAGCTCATGAACATGCACGTAAAGTTCTGTCAGCAATAAGAATTTACCCGAGTAACACAAGACTGAAGCAAAGACGTCACATTTTCTGTTTCTGCAGCAATATTTCTAAACTTGTTTTGTATTCGTAGCCTGAAGCTCTTGATGATTGTCTTCTGCTTGCACGAAGGCATAATATTAGCATGTTTTGGAGCTGTTCGGAAAAAAATACACTCCATATTAACAAAAAAAATTTCATATGGAATTAAGAAATCTTGGATTGCAATTTTAAACACGTGGAAATTGTTACTTACTCTCTACTTATGTAAAAGAATGAGGGCAAGTGATTTAATAATAATAAATTTAAAATATAAAATGGCTTTATATCGTTCTACTACTAAAAATAAATACTCTCCCGCATCACCACTTCACGGTTTACTTAAATTCTCGAATAACAGAACTTTCTTGATGCCAAATATTAAACTGGTTTTTGTGTTATTGAAAAAAATGCTACAGAGGTTTATTTGCATTAGAAATAAATATAAATTAATGTATATTTGAAGAATGTTCTTCTAAAGATAGAAAATTATATTTAGCAAAGCATCAAATTTTTGTAATAGAATTAAACTCTGGTATTTTAATTTAGTACTATAACTAAAATGTTTGAATTTCGAACTTATGGGGGAAAATGCAAGAAATTTTCTAATATCAAAGATTGTATAATTATGAATTGAAAGAATAATACAATTTAGAAGCAAAAAATTAACTTTTATTTTGCCGGCAAATCTTTACTTTTGATATCCAAATTCATTTTTTTTCCTTTCGAGGCCCACTTTTTTTTTTTTTAATCCTTTCATTTCTCCTCTAAACTACTATGGGCCATTTATTTTTAAATTTATTTTATCCCAAATTTTCTTCCAGGCCTTTTGGAAAACCGATTGACCCTTCGCCCCTAAGCTTGATATTTCGCTCATCGGAGCAGAAAGACTTAGCGGATGCAAAGCAAGATATCTGTCTAATTTGTCTGTCAGTCTGTCTAATTCATTTTCCAGTTTCTGGCAAGGCTACGAACTGTGCTATGTTTTGTTTATATTTGATATTTTGTTGTTTTAATCAATTTTAATTATTTAATTTAAATCTGCTGTGCTATAATAGTCACTGATATTAAAATGTTTACTACCCATCTGATATCAAGAATTACTAGTTGTGCTTTTAGTTCTATAAAAATCGTAGAGCATAAATTAATGTATGTATTTTTGTAATTAATTTCGTACGGATAGGAGTTATTTATTTTTATTATTATTATATTTATTTATACATATAATGTGAAGTTACAAATAATAATTTCTGAGTTGAAATCTCATGATTTGACGATACTAGATTTATTTATTAAGGGTAAAACCGCTGAGTATGATCTAGATGCGAGGAATATTCAGATGAATTTATAATGCATAGTTATTGCGTGAAAGAGGGAACAGATAATATGGATGATCGTTGTGTTAATACATTAACTAAGACTGATAGTATCATAAGTGCTTCTGATGAAAAATGGCACAAATTGCCAAAAATTCATATTAAAAAATTTGATGGGCAATTATTAAGGTATCTTTACATTTGCGGGCCAATTTAAGAAGATCCATGAGGGATATTGACAGGTTCCATTAATTAGCTCAATCAATGTTACCCAGAACTCATTCTAGTGAGTTGGTAGATAGTTACCCTTTAATGGCAGAAAATTACCTGAAAGCTGTTACTGGGTTTGAGAAGCATTTTGGCAACAAGGAAATTTTAACTGATATATACAGTGGCTCCCAAAAGTGTTAGTACACTTATGATTTTCATTGAAATAGGGCTCTATCCATTAATTAAAAGTAAACTTTCTGAATGAGATTTTAATAATAAGATGTATAATCTGTTTGTAACAAAATAACAGGAAATATTTTTCAAATATAGAGAAACTTTATTAAGAAATTAATAATAAAAAAATGTCAAACATTTTATCTGACAAAAGTCTTCGTACACAGAAATATTTTTGTGTAAAATCAAAATTAGAATTATCGTTTGCTGCTTTTTTTTTAATTTTTACATTGTGGTGGCATTTAAAAAATTGTTTGCCTTAGTTTTTTAATGTTTTATAATGTTCTATTTATTATTGAAAAATGGGGCACAGTCATAAAGAAATTACAAACAACATTCGAAAATTGATAATTTTTCATAGTAGTGGTAAATCAATTCAAAATATTGCTAAATTAGTTAATTTACCCCATTCTACAGTACAGTATGTGATAAAATGCTCTAAAGAAGAAAATTTGATTGACAGCAAGGTAAGAAAATGTCGACCGAGAAAGTAAACTAAACATGATAAGAGATTTATTATTAGAAAATATGTGAAAAACCCACACTTGAGTGCTGTAAAAGTTTTTCTGCAGATTTAATATTTTCAAAATTTTCTACTTCAATTTCACCTAAAACTGTTCGACGAGTTCTCAGAGTAGCTGGATTACATGGGCATTCTGCCTATAAAAAAATTTTGGCTAATCTTGGAATAGGTACTGTAGTTTGACGACATTTGGTAGGCGATAAAGGTTACTCCTAGGTTAAGGATAATGTGAGAAGTACTCAGTTCCGATTACACATTATTTGTGGTGTGAGGGAAATGAGAGATATGTCATGTAAGGACGAATTAGAGTTCTTTATCAGAAAAGGGGAAAATCTGGAAATTTTGTATTTAGCTTCATTCTGTGTTGTGTGAAACAGTGTTGGTTTTTTTGGATCCCATGGCCCTATCTAAGTGAATTCGAAATGGGTATTTAGTGGGATTGAAGGGGGGTAAATCGTGTTTTTTTTTTTAAGGGTGTGCGAGATAGAAGTAAAGATTGCTTATTAAGTTTTATTAAGCAGTTATTCTACCTGGTACAATAATATCTGATTGCTGTCATATGTCTGTTTGGAGGATGAAGGTTTTCCACATCTTGCTGTCAACCATAAGTTGATTTTAAGATCCTGAACAGGTACACATACGATTGCTTTTTATTTAGCGGAGGAAATGAGAACTATTATTCGCCAAAGATTCTGAAGAAGATTAGGTAAGTTAGCCTCAATTATTTGAGGATATTTTTTTATGCATTGTTCTAAATCTAAGGAGTACGAAATTATGTATTTTGGAAATTGTTATTGCAATGATTTAGTTTAAAGTTTAAGTTTTTTATTAGGATTGCTATTCATTTTAATGTTTTTTTTAATTATTTTTACTTAAAAAGTTATTGGTGGTATTATTGAGCAATTTGGTATTCCAATATGGAAATAAGGATTTGAACCATTTTTAATGGTGCGTTAAAAGGGGGATAATAGATGAAGGGGAAGTTTTTGATATTTTATTTATTTTATACGGGCAAAGTGGGGGGGGGAAAGGGAAGGAAGGGGATATGTATTTTAAATTTAAAGGAAGTTTTATATGCATTTTTTGTGAATTTTTCTAATTTATGAAAAAAAGCATTTTTGTGATGGAAAATTCAAGAGTGTGAGTGTACGCAATGCCATTTTTGTGCATTCTGGGATGTTTTTTTAAGTAAAAATAATTCGACGTGTACATGGTTACTGTGCGATTCTGAAAAACGCGGCAAGGAGTTTGCGATTCTGCACTTTTTCCCAATTTTGCGTTAATATTTGTCATGATTAAGCAGTTTTGTTCCATAAAATTTCTAGCATAAGTGTAATTCGGCTAGCAGATTTGGAAAAAGTGTGAGTAAATAAAAGAAAAGAAACATGTCTTTACTTCGTGAAGACAAAATGACGGCGAAAAAAAAATAGAGGGTTGCTGTAGCAGAGTTTGTCACGAAATTTTCGCCAAAAAATCGCCAAGTTACCATAATCCAAAGATTAACCAAAAATTTTTTTAGTGAGAAAAACCGAAAGCTTAGCCTTCCATTCGCAAAATCAATGATAAATACACCCGAAACATACTGAAATAATGTCCTATTTGCTGATGAAAGCAAATTTAACATTTTTAGTTACGATGGTCAAATAACTGTATAAAGAAGAAAAATGAGGAACTGCATTCTAAGAACTTAGTTGGAACGGTTAAGCATGGCAGTGAATGTGTTCTTGTATGAGGGTGCATGGCAGCATCAGGACTAGGTAATTTGGTATTTATTGATGGCATAATGAATCATTCTCTTTATTTAAATATTTTAAGAGACAATGTAAAATTATCAGCCCAAAATTTGGGTATTGGAAACAACTTTATTTTTAATCATGATAACGATCCTAAGCATAAGCATACGGCTCTCAACGTTCGCCTGTGGTGTCTCTATAATTGTCCACAGGTTTTGAAAACACCACCTCAGTCGTCAGATTTAAACCCCATAGAACACATTTGGGTTTATTTATCTATAGAACACATTTGGGTTTATTTAAACCCCATAGAACACATGGAAAGAACTGGTGGTTAGAGTACGAAAACATGACATCAAAACGAAAAGTGAACTCAAAACAGTCATGATGGAAGAGTAGATGAACATGAACATGAAAAAAAAAAAAAAAAAAAAAAAAAAAAAAAAAAAAAAAAAAAAAAAAAAAAAAAAAACTAGTAAAATTATTTCCAGACGTTTAAAAGCTGTTGTGGATGCTAAAGGATATCCTGCTAATGTTAATTTAACGAAAAATTAAAATATTTACTAATATGTCAAGATTTTTTTTTAAGTGTACAAAGACTTTTGTGAGATAAACTGTTTGTCGTTTTTTGATTATTAAATTCTTAAATATAAAGTTTCGCTATATTTTAAAAATATTTCATTTAATTTTGTTACGAATAGATTATAGATCTTAATTATTAAAATCTCATTCAGAAAGTTTACTTTTAATTAATGGATAGAGCCCTATTTCAGTGAAAATCGTAAGTGTACAAACACTTTTGGGAGCCACTGTTTGTGAGGGAATTGCTAAAATTAATTATCAAAATGTATGCTTGCAAGGGAACAATAATTTGCCTTTAGTGTCACTGACAAAATCAAATTTACTTCAGCTCTCTATAGTCTGTAGGCTTAACCCTAGACACTAATGTTTGCTGATTATGCCCCATGGTCTATCAGCTGAGATGCTTTGTAACAAGTATTCTGCTCGGTAACAAAGTATCATGTCTCAAATCTGTTGGAATTTTTGCATAAATAGATCAAAGGAGAGCAAAGAGTCAAACTCGCTAGGTCTGGATTCAAATTTTCCTATACTTTATGTGATGAGCATTTTAAAGATATAAAATTTAGGAACAAAAGACCCGTTGCATGTGTAGCAAGTTTACTTGCTAGCAAGGAACATTTTTTTTTCCCCCTTGTGGAAAAACTCATTAAAGTAAAAAATGTTTTACTGCTAAGACATTTTTCAAAACAGTGTCACCAGTTTATTCAGTGTTTTATTTATGCCAGTGATTTCACTCCCTAATTTTATGTCCTGGAGTACCAGACAAATATAATGAGTTTAATGTATCTGTGATGCTGAAAAACAATCTGATGTAATTCACCCGATGATATTAAAATTTTTAGAATGATGAACAAAATATTTTAAACAGAATTACAGCATAGACAATTCAAAGGAAGTAAATTTCTCATGCAACACACTATACAGTTTGATGTTAACCATAACACTGAATCACTACTTATTTCAAGAACAATTTTTCCTGTCTAAAGTGAATTAATTAGCTTTGATTTGCAATCATGATGCCACATTTCATTTTGCTTATTAGAACTTTAAAACTTACAGATATATTTTCCACTGGAGTTTCTTTTGGCAGGTAACAATCTTGCTAGCTAATAAACTGTAATGAATTCTGTAAATATTGTGATAATCGAATGACATCTGCATGGATACAAAGATGACATTCACAGATATAGGTGGCAAGACAAGACATAATTTATTACTGGACGACTAATTCTTGGGATACATATTTTCATTCACACAGCATTATGGATGTGATGTGCATCTCATCTTCATAATTTTTTTTTGCAGCTTATGTCTTAGCTAATGGACGAAGCAAAGAGGCAAACTTCTTTCATCTGATAAGAGATATCTACATTGCAGGATCATGTAAGAAAGCATAAAATGGATTAATTTTGAAAAATTTGTAAAGAATTTCTGCATTTAGAGAAGAAAGGGGAGTTACACAAATTAAAATGAGGAATTATGGAGCTATTGCTAATTAAGTTATAGTTTTGATTTACATATTTTTCTGTTTCATATATTTTACATTTTAATTAGGTATGTATCCTGATTGGTATTGATTTCTGATACTAATCTTCAAATGACATTATCTCAAAACTCATATAAAGTAGCGCGGTTGACACTGTTACATTGAACGCTTCATATGCTGAAAATGTTTTTAACTGTAAATAGATACTCATTTATTATTTTCTTAAAATTCTAAAGCTGTGAAAAATGAAATGTAACAATAATTTGGTTAGTAGTTTTCTAATATTAACGAAATTTGATTTCCTTTGATTAGTTTAATAAGATGTTAAATAAACACATTTTTTTTTTTTTTTTTTTTTTTTTAATCTCACAGAGTGACATGTACCTTTATCCCTGTTCGAGATAAGCACGGTATCCGTAAACAAAGAGGAATTTATGATAATTATTGGGTGCCGAAGAAGCGAAAATATACTGATGATAAAATTACATCTGAAAATAGAGATTTCCTTCAAGAAGTTATCAGCGAAAGGTTTTTAAAACCTGGAGAAAGCCCATTAAAGAACCAAGTTGAAAATGAAAGAGCTAAATGGACTCCAAAGTATGCATTAATTGTTACTTGAATTAATTATTCATTTTGGTATTTTTTTATTATGCACACCCTCACTCAAAAGTTGAGAATTTGTGTTGCAGCCTTTGGACAGAAACATGTGTTTGGGTATCTTTATGTCTGTTTAAACAGTGAAGCCAGCACCCCTATTTTTTATCATTTTTCTTTTTTTGTAGAAGATATGCACGCTTCTAACAGGTAATTAATTGGAATAATCAATAATTATGTTTGGGGTATAATCTTAGTCCTTCTTCATAGAATTTCGGGCATAATTTCTTTGCCCAACAACAAATAAAGCAGACAGCTGACATAAATAAGGTATGACTGCTTTCAGACCTCATTCTAAACATTCTAAAACTTTTCTTATATTTTTTCACATTGTGTTTCCATAAAATTCATTCATTTAAAAAATATGTCTTCGTAAATTATGAATTTTTGCATTCTCTATTGATGGAGAAAACACCATATTTCTGGAGAAAGTTTTCTGCTTTTTCATTAGCACAGTTGCAATTCAGTATGACAAAAACAAATGTACTCAATGCAAAAAGAAATGCTAGTCAGAAAAATGACCATTGAGTTTCAAAAGGACAAATCTACATGTACTTGAAAAGGCATGTTCTGCTTGCATACCTGGGTTACCATGCACTATTTAATAATGGTGTGTTGCCTCATCAATACTTTTCAATTTTTCTGTGGGGGTGTGGATGATCAAAAATATATTATCTTTTAATTAGAAAAAAATAAGTAAATGCATCTTCTATGTATTTGTTATTGTTGACTTTTCTTAGTTTGAAAAGTATTAAAAAAGGAAAATTTTGGTACTAATAATGGAGAAACTATTGCAAGAGAGTTTTTATAACTACATCATGAGCATTTTATTGCAAGGTTTCTAACTTACAAATTAAGGAACTTTACAAAGATTAAATTCTAATTCAAATTAATGTTGGACAAAAAAGCTTTATTAATTTGACATAGATTTCAAATAAAACTGAATAATTTTTTAGGGAAGTCAAACTCTTTTTCGGAAAAAGAAGAAGAGGAGTCAGTGTCTGATTATCTTCAAAATCAATAAAGATTTATTCAAAATGTATGCAAATTAAGGTTAAGCTATAGTTTCTTTTTCACACTGCAAATTTTGCATTGATGAGGTTCTCTTCCAGATAAATATTTTTCTGATTACCTAAAGTTTCTAGAGATTATTTAATAAAAATAAAATTCTGACAGCTCACATGGTTCTTATATAACCCATTTTATGAAAGTTATCTATCATCCGTGATTAGTTAATATCTAAGATGTTTTCTCCCTCCTTTCTGCATGACTTTGTGATGTAATTGAAAGCATACTCAATGTGTATTTGAGATGTCCAGGGTTCAAGTCGCAGCAAGGGCATTGCACATTTTTCACTTCTCCTGCTTTAAAAAAAAAAAAAAAAAAAAAAATCTGTGCAAATATGAATTAATTTTATGGAATAAAATTTGGTACTTTTCTGTTAGCTGAGCTGAATTCAAAAATGTATAAAATTTTGATAGTCTGATTTGAAATTACAAACTAAATACAGATATTAATAGTAATTTATAATAAGTTGTAAATAATTCATTGTGTAATGAACTGTAAATTATAATTGTTATTTAGTATGGTAAAATATGTTAGGGTAAAAGTTTGTGTGAATTGGGTTAGGTTATGAAGAACTTTGTACGTTGCCTGCATATGAAATGCAAATTATGATTATTGTTAAGTGTTTAATATGTGTTTAAATGAATACATTTGAACTAAATAATGAAGTAATAAATTAAATCTGTGTGCATATCAGTAGTTTGTATATGAATCTTTTCATATTTGATAATTAAAAGCTTCATTTTTACAATATTCAAAATGTGTTAGAACTAAATGCTTTTTAAAGTAATAAATATTTTTGAATCTGTAAAGATTTCATTGATTTAAAAAAAAGTGTCATAATGTTTGAATGATGCCATGAAACTGTCATTTTCATCCTTCGGTGTTTATTTCCATGTTATATTTTATTATGTTTTAGTCCATTATTTTCAATCAAATTAAAATATTCTAAAAAGTGTATTTGTTCTCTTCTCTAACAGTTCTGTAAGAACAGGACTTATAGCCAGGAAAATAGGAATCTACCCTATGTGGACAAAGGATGGTAAAAGAATTTTGACAACACTGTTACAGGTAAAACTTTGAACTATTAATAAGTTATTAGTAGATAAAGTTTCTTTAATTTTGTTGATAATTAAAATAGGAAAGAAGCTAAATATATTTTTAGGAATGTGTAAGTCTGCCTGACACTACACACCACACTTACGTACTTTAGAAATGTGTGTGACACTACACATTTCTAAATATACATTTAGTTTTTAAACTGTTCTATTGAGCAAAATCATATTTTTTCATGTAAAGGTGAAATTGTTCCATCCTACAAAAATCAGAAAGCACATTAAATTTTACACAAATATTTGAAATAGTACTTTGTAAATATCTCCCTAATAATATTTGAAATAGTATCTTAGTAAATATCATTAGAAAGCTTGGATATTTGATATTTTCAACTTAATCAGTGCCAACCATGCTGTATTTATTCAGACAGTTAAGTCTGTTGCACTCACAACATCACGCCATGACTTTAACAGGTATAATCATCTTGCTCATAAGCACTGTAAATGAATTTACTGTCAGAAAAAATTGGTTAACATTAAGGACAATGTTAAATAACTACATTTTCCAGGGAGGATTAAAAGAATATATTTATTTATAATAAGTGGATATAATTTTACAGACTTTTGTTTTAAATAATTTCTATAAAATTAAATGGGTGTTTTTACTTCTTCCTGTAGTAAAAGCACCCATAACCCGACCAGTGACATTTGTACACAGGTTCAAAATAAAGTGTTATGTGATATAATTCTTATTAAAGTGTATTGAAAGCAACTGGACTAGGGAGACACAGCTTCATTGATAAGTGAATAATATGGATATACCCAGCTAGGTAAATACATATTGACTAATTTAAATGAGAAAATTTTATCCTCCCAATTATTCTGCTTTTCAACAAAGATTTTTACAATTAATCACTTCTCAACTCCAGCTCAATAAATTTCAGAAAACCATCAAAAAATTGTTTATTTTGTACTAGAGAATTTGAAAAAAAAAAATTGCATTTTTAGATGAATTACAGTACACTCCCATGATTATCCGCGGAATTGGGTGGCGCGTCCGTAGCGGATAGTAGAAATTATAGATAATCCGAAAAAAATCTAACAATGGGTATAGCAAAAGAGAAAACAGTCATTCCAACTTTGAAAAATCATCTTATGTACAATAAAACGTAAAATAAACAGCAGGAACTATTTAACTAACGCTTAATATTTTAGTATATCACTCAAAACTAAACTAAAATGCATTTTGTTATTAAAAACAGAAAAGTGCTTTGTACTTAAGAAAGGCATCAAGGATACACAGAAAAATTAATACATATGTACTGTTTTAATACTGTAATGTATTATGTAATTACAAAAGCATAACTGTAAAACTACACCTTTTTGAAGAAATCAGTCATTTGTGTTTGCGTCTTGCTTTGGAAGCATTTTCTCTTGATCCAAGATTGCATTTTTCGCAGCATAAGTTTCTCGGCCAACTCCGTGTTGTCTTGTTCTTCCAAATAGCTCAGCAGTCCGTCGACTTGTTGCAAAGCCACTTCGTGAGTCTTCCGCATCTGCACAATGGCTCTTCTTCGCCTTCACTTCGCTCTCCTTCATTCTCGGTCTCTCCCCTTGCTTTCTTCACAACTTTGTCATCTGTCAAGCGTTCGAAGCCAGGTTCGTTGACGTCACACTTCAACCACGTGTTAATGTTTTCAGCATCGACGTTCTCACCACCCAAAACTGTTTTCACCATATCGATAAGAGTTGCCGTGGGCATGTCTACATCTTCATTCTCTTTTTCACAACTCAAAGGGGTTAGGTTGTTGTTGGCTTCAACATTAGGCATGAGTTTTCTTCATGATTTTATGAAGGTTGGCAGTTTCACTGAGTCCCATGCAGATGCAATATCATAGATGCTGTCCAAGATTGTGTAGTGTTTTCAAAACTCTTTCAGATCATAACCTTCTTCAATTTTGGTCATTAGCAGCCTGGTTTGGTATGTTTTCTTCATTGTTGCAATGACTCCTTGATCCATGGGTTGGATTAGCGCAGTAACGTTTGGACGGGAGAAACTTTGCAAAAATTTGTCCGTCAGAAGACTTTAGCACGCTTGTTGCTGGGTGAGAAGGTGAGTAGTTGATCAATAGCACAGCTTTTTCAGGCAGGTTTTTCGATTTAAGATATTTACGCACTTGAAGAACAAAGATTTTTTCGAACCATTCTTGAAAAATGTTTCAATTCATCCATCCTTTTTTTTTTTTTTTTTTTGGTTAAAGTAATCAATGGGCAAATTTTTTATCCTTGTGCCTTTGAAAGATATTTTTTTTTTTTTTTTTTTTTTTTTTTTTTTTTTTTTTTTTTAAATTTCCAATGACAACAAGTCTAAGTTTATGTCCACCAATAGTGCTACTGCAAGACATGATAGTGATCCTCTCCTTGCTGCTTTTATGACCCACCGCTTTACTTTCACTTTCAAATGCTAAAGTGCGAGTGGGAAGACATTTACACAAAAGTCCAGATTCGTCGGCCTTGTAAATTTGTTCAAAAGACAGCTCTTCTTTTAAAACAAATTCTTCAAATTCATGGTGGAAATCGTCGGCTGCTTGTTGGTCACCATGAAGTCCAATTTCTCGAATTCCATGTCGCTGCTTAAAACGAGTCAACCAACCAGAAGACGTATCAACATTTCCTTTCAGGCCTAACAACTCTAAAAAGGTTTTTGCCTTCGCCGCAACGATAGGACCAAATCGGTAACAAAAAACACAAATCCAAAAAGCACAAGCACTGAACACAATAAAAGATAAGAAATTAATTCCAACCGGTTCGCAAACACTATCAGGCTTAAACTAACAATGACGAATGGGAGGAAGTGGACGTGTCAGTAAGATTAAGAGATGAGAGAGGGCGGTAGAGCGGGCATTGCAAGGGTGAGTAAGAAATCACTTATTCACCAGAGGGGAAGGTTCCGAGAAAGCTTGGGATATTTTTGCCATAAATAAGCACGATATTAGTAAATTTAACGTTTCGCTCAGTTTTGTGAACATTTTTATTTTCTTTGCTTTACGCTTGTAAAAAAAAAAAACTTTGTGCGGCAGGCGCGGATAATCGGGAGTCTACTGTATATGTAAAAAATTCATAATATCAAAAATAAAGCCTACGTATATAGAGAGAAATATTACAACTACCCCTGTAATGTTGGCTTTTTGCACACAAAGCAAATTTTTTTCAATTTTTTTGAATAGTAATCTTATTTTATGTCAAATATCTGTTATGTTAGTTTTGCAATACATGCAGGTAGTAATAAATATTTAACATAGCTTTATATTTTGTATTTATTACACATCTAGTTGTAACTTTTAGGTGTAACTAATATCTCTTCTTAGTGTAGTGTATTTTAAAACAAGGAATCATGCAGGAAGGTATTTTTTGGTATATTTTAAAACAAGGTGTGAAAGAGAAATGAAATATGCAAATCGTAACAATATAACTTAAAAGCTATTTTATATGCTTTTTAGTAATGAAATTTAAAAAATTTGTTAATTTGTAATAGAACTACTAAGCAAAACATTTAACAAATGCAGCCAATGTATCCGTAAGAAAGCATATGTTTCACTATAAATTTAACCGCAAAAAGGGAAAACAAAAGCTAAATAAATGAAACAGGTTAGATAAAAACTAAACTGGAAAGGAGATGCTCTTGTTATTTCAGAATTGATTCTAACTAAAAAATGTGTAAGAACATCCTACTCTATAGTACTTGAACTTGTTTCATTTTGTCAAATAAAAATGTCAAATAAAAACTCAGATTTCTTTATTTACATCCATGGATGCTTTCTGGTTTAATAAATCGAGGGCATCTATCTTTCTTTTCACTTCTTATTTCTAGTAGAGATTTTGTTGCCTTTACCATCTTTAAAAGAATTTCTTAAATTGAAGCAAATATCTAATGTATGTTATAAGGATAGGCCATCTATCTTTCTTTTCTCTTCTTATTTCTAATAGATAATTGGTTGCCTTTACCATTTTGAAAAGAACTTCTAAAAGTGAAGCAAATATCTGATGTATGTTACATTGATATTACCGAGGATGTATCCGTGGATGATATGTTGCTAAAAGATGGTGTTTGGGTTGTCCTAAAATAAAGAAGATGGAGCTCTGTCTTCTATAGTCATCATGAACATAACAATATCTCCTTAATGTGGTGTGGTGTATTTAATTATGGCAAAGCACACTAGGGCTATCTGCTAAGGGGAAGGATGCCTTCGTGGAGGACTTTCTAATGGAAACTGGCTCATATACACGTTACACATAGGGAAAACCACGAAAACACCCATGCAGCCAGCCCGTTTGCGGGATTCAAACCTCGGACCGAACTACCAGTGTTTAGCGACTTTACTGCTCGGCCGCTATCTCCTTAATGTACCTTTAATAATGATGAATTATATGTAATAATTGTGAACATAAGAAATCCCTTTAATGTACCTGTAATACCCCTTAGTGTACCTAGAGCTTTATGGAATAATGATTGGAGATGCCGAAGGTTGTTAGCATTAAGGGCACATCCAGCCATTATTCTTTGTTGGCAGGCTACGTATTGATTGAAAATGGTGGAGGCATCCACCTGATGGCTGGATTGCCATCACACCCTTATATACAGATCATCATTTATGAAGAAATAGCACTCAGGTTGAAGACTTCATTATCTCATTTGGCACTACATGCAGCTGAGCTGCAACAACATAGTAAATTTTTGCCCACCAGCGGCCGAGCGGTAACGTCGCTGAACACTGGTAGTTCGGTCCGAGGTCGAATCCCGCGAACAGGCTGGCTGCATGGGTGTTTTCGTGGTTTTCCCCATGTGTAACGTGTATACGAGCCAGTTTCCCTTAGAAAGTCCTCCACGAAGGCATCCCTCCCCTTAGGCAGATAGCCCTAGTGTGCTTTGCCATAACTAAATACAACAACAACAACATAGTAAATTTTCAAGCAATAGCTTGCTGTTGATAGAAGTCTTTGTTAAGGATGTCTGGATATCATCATTATTCAATCATAAAAAAAACTTGTCAGCCAATCAATTTCCTGACACTAAGTATGATGTCATCTTAAAGGTCTGAGATAAGCTTCACATTTCATTATGGTGTTGTAATTTTATGTTTTTCATTCACTAGGCTTGGGGACAGCAGAAAATCTATATTATGCTTTGATAGTGCCAAAACTTATAGCTTTACTCATTGCATGGCTGTTTATATCACAAATGAAAATCATTTATTGGCTTGCAACTGCAGTCATTTGTGTAGCTTATTTACATGTTTGCTTTCCTACAGAAATTTGCATTTCAATGTGTTTGCTTCTTCATGGTATTGCAATTTTTCCCCCCTGTTAAGCAGTGTATGTATGAAATTATTCAGTTACTCTTGCTTAATATAGAATTATGTTGATTATGCTGGTGAGGAAAATGAAAATTGAATTTCAGGAAAGTCTGTCAGTACAAAAAAAAAAAAAAAAAAAAAAAAGAAAGAAAGAAAGAAAAGAAAAACAAATAAGCAAATGTAATAATAATAAAATTATTTTTGCTGGGGACAAAAGTCCTATAAGTTATTCTGACTAAAAGATTAATACAAACTAATGTTCCTCTAAGCTTTGTACACTTGTTCTAAAAATATAATTATTTGCAATGTGCTAATTATTTAATATAACTTTTAAGATTCCTTGATTTTGAAAGAAATGTAATTAATTTAAACTGTTACAAAAAAGTTGGTTAAAAAAAGTAAATGTCATTTGTAGAAATCTGTTTTGCAAACTCCAATCTGATTGTCTTAGATTTGAATTTTAAGCCATAAAACAACAGGTATCAATGGCCCTTAATCTTCTAGTATGTATGGTATGATTTTGCCATTAATAGCAAGTACTAAATATGATCTCTTAGGAATTGGTTTCGATCATTGCTTTTGTGAATCTGAATGGTATGTAATGCACATCTAACAAGATTCTTTCAACTTGTTCATACAAATAAACTCAAATTATTCTATTTTGCTAATTTTGTATCTATTAACTCTTTGAAATTCAGACCCTTCGCTAAGCTGTATCCTCAAAATACCCGAACCACCCGAAATACTTTTCCAGTTTCACAGCAATTTCCTCCCCTCCTCGTCCATTAGTGCAGAAAATAGGTGTGAAGATTTCCAATGACATCCTTTGTGCTTTCTAACAAAGATTCCATTAGCCTTTGACCCCGTTCTTTATAAAACTATTCTGAAGGCTTTCGGATCAACAAGCCTTTCCGGCTTTGTTATGATCACGACTGAGATTTTGTATATTTCCGTTATTTTTATAGGAAGGAATAAATTGTTTAAAAATAAATATAATCCTTAAATTTTTAAACTGCTCTTTTATTGCTGTTTAAAGCTTAAAAGCACACTACCACAAAAGAATCAACAACGAAATGTCACGATCAACCAAAAGATAAAGAAAACCTCTTAGGACAAGCTGTCTGCAGTAAACTGATACAATGCATTTGGGGAAAGTGCACCTGCTACTGCTTACCTTAATGGGGAGGGAAGAAAAGATTACAATCTTGGCCGTTTTCGGGCGGTTCTGGTTATTTCGATGTAGGGCCGTGTCGGGCGGATTGGATGTGAAGGAGTTAAACTAAGATTTCAGGAAATACCAAGATGACTTTTAACAAGTAATTTGTATGAATATTTTAATAATTGTTGAAAGACATTTTAAATTTTTTTGAAGTATACAATAGACTCGGAAGCATAAATGTGTGAACGTAAAACCCCACAGATATTTGCTTCTGATCGGCTTCTAATATTTAATTTAAAAAGTAAATATCTTAAAAACTGTTTCTGTAAGTTTTACTTTTTAATGTTTTTATTTTTTGTGTTGTATAGGTGGTAGACAACCATGTCATTAGATATAACCCACCTGAAATATTTTCACAATCTAAATATTCTAATGTTTATCTCAAAGACAAATCAAAAGTTTTGGGAAGTTTAGTTGTTGGAGCAGAAAGTGCCGATCCTCAGCTGGTATGTAAAATATTTCTTTTCCTATTTTAGAAGTATTTATTCATGGTATAATTCATAAAAGAAATTTTGCCTTTGAAGCGATTAAAAATTGAATGCTTGTGATAAATTCTCACACATAATGATTCTTTAGTTTAACAAGCCAACCATTTTCACTTTTTTTTTTTTTTTTTTTTTTTTGTTGTTGTATTCCAAATGTCAACTATTTTATGTAGAAATTGTGATAGTTTTTGCATTTTACTTAATTTTTAAATTTTTGTGGAATTTTTGTGCTGTAGAAGAAAATGTGTTAAAATTCTATGTGAATACAGTATTTTTCAGAAACTGCCCAGTGAAAGAGACCAGTTTTGAATCTATTCTTAATAACCATAAAATTTGTACCAGAATGAAAACAAAAACTGTTTGCAAGAAGGTTTATTGATTGATTCTTAGGATAAATATTTATTGAAACATAAAATATGGGTATCTGTATAGTATTCCGTCAACAGTAAAACTTTCACCAAGCAGTACAATTTAGCACCAATTATGGATAAACGGGACATAAGAGTACACTCATAATGTCTGTGCTTTCATTTAATGTAACAAGAATCATTATCTTTCCTCTGCCTCTTGTTTTTATGAAGAAGGATATAAATCTGTTGTTGCTGTAGTTTGTTGTTGCATTTTGAAAAACAAATTAAAATTTAACACCTGCCTTTTACAGAACAGTGTGCAGTGGATTAATTTCAAAATTATGGGATCCTGCCATCAATAAAAGTATGTATTAATGGACATGATTAGCTTAATTTTGGCCGACAAACCAGTTATAAACGTGCAGGAAGTTGGGGCTGTTCGAAACAAAACTTCTGTTAAAATCAGAGCGCCTAACAAAAGAGTATAAATTGATGAGAGCCTTTTGTAGAAGCACAAAAAAAATGAAGTGGGTTGAATAATAGTTATTTACTAAACAAAGATGCATCAGTTACTTTAATGGGAAGGCTTTGGCAGGATCTTCACCAAATCTTATAGTTCAGTGGCAGCCAACTTTCACAGTCAGTGGGATAATATATGAGCACCAAAATGTGTATGTGTATGATAAATAATTTTTTCAGGTGTAAGGTATAATTCTATTTTATCTGTAAAAAATTGCAAAATTTTACAAAGATGGTTGCGCTAATATTTAAATGCAGCATATACAGAGTGGAGGGTCATGGAAGTGAATTTGAAAATGAAACCAACACTATAAAATAAAGATCAAATATTTATTTATTTTATTTCTTTGCATGATATTTAAATTGGAGCTATAGCAGAAACTTTTTGCACCAACTGGATCTTCTGATTTCGTATTCTGTTCACTGTCACAACTGATCAAATACATAAAATTTGAATCTTTATTTATTTAAGGCTGTAACAGAACCATGAGACAAGAATAAATGCTTATCAAAGCAGTTGTGCCAACAACAAGGCTTGTGTGAGGGTTTTCATCATCCACTGAAAAATATACTAATATGTCATGAATTGGAGAAAAAGACTGATATCTTGCCAACTATGTTTTGTGATCTAGAACGGCTCTAAAAGAATATATCTATTGCACTTCTGCTAAATTTGTGTTATGGTGTTGAAATTTAATTACTAGGATATTTGTTTGTCTAACACATTAAATGCAGATGCTGATCCTGTCAAACGCAAAAAATGACTTGGAAGCTGTATGCAGTATTTTAAATCCAAACTGATTGGACCAAACCTTACAGAAGCAGGGTTTGTTTTGAAAGGTCTGAAAATGTGTTCACATGTATTTATACAGAGTGATGCAGTGCACTATCTGCTCTAACCATCTTACACAGTGTTCTTTTTAAAACATTGAAATGTGATCTAAGATACCCAAAATTTGATACATCATTAAATACTTATAAAACAATCACAGCTAGCTGAAACTTCCAAAAGCAAAAAAAAAAAAACAACACAGATTGATAGCTAGCCCAAGCTGCCAAGTGCAGCCTGAAAAACTTAATGCATAGAAACTCATTAATACTTTAACTAATTTGCCATCTGATAAATTTTGACGAAAATAGAACTTAATTGTGAAGACAAAATAATAAGATAACTGGGTTAATTTATATAAAATTTTACATATTAATCAATGATTCTGCAACTCTTTGGATCATCTTTAGATGTAATATACTAGAGGAGTAGAAATACAATAGAAAAACTAAAGGAGTGGGATTAATTCAGTCTGCAAATGTGTCAGACAGAAAATAAAAAATGAATTTAAAAAACATGAAATGCTGTGGAATTTTCAATTAGAGATAACTGATAAAAATTTGCAGTTGTTAAGAACTTTGCTCTCAAATTCAAAGTTAAGGACTTTAAGCTGTAACAAATGATAAACACAATAAGTATAATAAACACAACAAGGAGTTTTTCCTAAAAACATGTTCTCCCAAAATTAGTTTGAACAAAAGATTTCTGGCCTTTAATGACAATGATTTTATTCTTATATTTCACAGTGAGGTCATATTCACAGGTCAGTGAAAAGAATAACATGTAAACATGCATTAACATATAAACTTGTATGATGTTAAGAAGGAAATGCTTGTGGCTATTATACTTAACTGTTGAAGTAAATAACATCAAAATTTGTATTGATATAATATAAAAAAGTCTGAATTACGTTTTTTATAAACATATGAATTATATTTACTAGATCAGCTACACTTTCCATTCATTGAGAGCAGCTTTAAAACATTCTAGTTTAATTTTTTTGTTTGATATTCTTGAGCATTCAGATCTATAGCAATCATTTTACACTTAATTATGTAGAAGGAGATATTTATACAAACAGCTGCTATTAGTTAATTAGTAAATTTTGTTAGCTGTAGGCTGATATATTCTACATATTAGTGAATTCTACTTATTAGTGCTATTTTTGTATAAAATCAAAGATTTTTTAGTTATAAGCTTATACAATTATATATATATATTGAAAATGTGAATCCATTATGAGACATATAAAATTTAATTCTATATACAAAGCTTTTGTAATTAAATCTCTTTTCTGAGTTTCAGAACTTAATATATTTACCATAAAAAATTGTATTATAGGTGTTATTTAAGTTTTTTGCATGCATGTAAAGAAAAAAAAATTAAATTAAAAAAAGACTGAAGAACTGATGATACTTAATAAATTAAATATCTTATTGATTATTAAAGTAAATGCCAAAAATCTAAATTCTGCTGGAGAAATGCAGTGTGAAATACCCACTCCAAAATGTGTTTTAAAAAAAATGTTCTTCGGTAGGTTTTCTTTTTGCAATTAATTTCATTCAACTCCTTAATGCACCCATGAAAATTTAGGAAGTGTCTGTTTATTTTTCTGCAAGTCTTTTCTTATATGTCTGTAAAAATAAACATAATCTAAGTTTTTTTTTTTTTTTAAAGAAAAGTTGTATAAACTGTGTAAATCACTGAATTGGATTAACTCGGGCTGTAAAATTATGGTACAATGCAAAATCTTAGGTCCAGAATTATTGGGATTTCGCCAATTCCAGATTTTTGAAATTTCTGAATCATGAATTTAAATCTAGTAAGATGGCGTGTAAAAATAATTTTTTTAATATTCTTCATTAATATTTCTTTAAGAAAGAGGTATTTTGCATAAAGAATTTCTTTTTTATTCCTGAATCTTGAATTACCAGCATGTGAAATTAAAATATGATTCAAAGCCAAAATGGCGATATTTTCTGGATTTACTAGTGATATTCGCCTTTCTATTGATTGATAACTGAGGTATTGTCATCGCAATGTAAGACACCAGTTATATAATCTTTATTTATCATTTTCTTCAGATATTCCATTAATCGGAAAATTTCCCTTTTCTTTTGGTATCTAAAAACCTTTTTTTATGGCTCTCATCAGGAAATTTAGTAACTGGCTATATGTTATGCCAGGCATTTTAGAAAGTATTTGTAGACATGTCCTTTTAGTATCTTGCTATAATCAACATATCAGATTTTATATTAAAATATTTCTAGAATTCTTACATGATGTAACTTCAGCATCAGTTTTTGACAGGCTACTGCATGTGTGCAAAATTCCAATATCCATTCGCTAATTGACGGATGTACAGTTTCAGGGAAAGAGTAAAATGGAGACATTATCATTGGTTGAAACTGTTAATTTTGATAAGATTATTAACAGACAGAACAAAATAATAAGCTGCTTCAAATAAAAGAGTTAAGGCAAGAATGCAATTTGCTATGTTAACTGAACTTAGGTTCCTCAGAATCCATTTCTTTCTTCCTTTCCTGCTGCTAGAACAGAAAACTAGGGTGAGAATCATCCTACTCCAGATAAATAAGTCTTAAGGTTTACATATTATTTATGTCAGATAGCAAAAGTCTAACCCTCCTTAACCAATCAAAGGCTGAAAGTGGGATCAGGCTTACATCAGTACATCATTATTCAGTGTATTGTCATTGAGCACAATGCAGTTCCCTAACCAGGAGATGTCTGAAAGTGACATTAAGTGATCTCAGCTATTCAAGAGAAAAACTGCATTTACCGCTCACTTTCTCAATTCCTAAATTGTATTTAAAAAAAATCCTGTTATTGGGTTGGAATTATTCCAGATATTGCACACCCAGATTTTGACCTTTGTATTATAATAACATTTTTTTAGTCAATATATTTACTACTGTGTGGTATATTCTAATGAGTCTTAATCACTATCCATCCTAGGGTTATATAAAGATAAATTGAAAAAAAATTATATAATAATAGATGTGACTTTGCAGTCACAAAATAAAACCTGTCAGTTGTGATTCAATGCAGCCTACTGAAATGAAAACAATGCCTTATTTCTTGGCAACAACAACAAAAAAAGGGGGCACATGTGCAAACCAAATAGCTGATTCACCTCAACAGTGAATTTTTTCAGGTGACAAATAATAAATACATTCAAACAAACATAAAAAAATAGGCTAAAAACTGTAGAAGATATATTTCATTGTATTTCATATATGAAAAAATTCTTTTAACATACTAATTTGACTACTTGGAAAAAAAATTAGTTTGTTAACTCAAGTGAGCTTAGGTTCTAAATAACTAAACTGCTTTATTGAATTAAAATGCATAATTTAGATTATGTTACTAAATCTCTGGATATGTTTAATTAAGCAAGCATTAAAATTTTTATTCATTTGTGTGATTAAGTAAAATGCATAATTTCAGTTTACCAGTACTTCATTGCTAACTTGCATTTGTTTAATCATTTTTGTTTTAAATGTATATTTTAAATTCTTGTAACTTTCTGCAGTTTACTGCTGCTTATAATGGACTTTTTGCTGAATCTGGAGTAATGCCGAAAAAGAGGTTGACGTATTTCCGAATAACTCCTGATGCAAAGATAGAACCTGGTAATTTATATTTAATCTGACTATTTTATAAAATGTCACAGGCTTTTAAGCATCGCATAAAATTATTGACATTAATAAAATCGATAATGTATTCAGTTTGAATTATTTTTTGGATTAATATTTAGCAATTTTAAATCTTTCATGTATTTAGCATTTATTCTTTTATTAGTAAGCAGATTTTCTTTATTTAAATTAAAAAGAAGGAAAAATCCTTCCCATGTTATTAAAAAATTATATTTGGATATGATATTTTAGTAACTGACAATTTCTACTATAAATAATATAAAAGCTGTGTTTGCATTAATTTCAAACAATGTGTTAAGGTGAGGACCCTATTCATTTTTAAAAGTGAGGGAAGTTAAAAGGGGAGGAAAGACAGAAAGTCAATCCATTCAGATAATAAAAAGTTCATGTTTTTAATAGTAATCTATGAACAAAAATTGCCTTTCTTAAAAAGAAAGCAAATAAAGAGTTAACTGTAATCTTGGATTTTTTTTTTTTTTTTTTTTTTTTTTTTTTTTTGCGCAAAATATTTTACCAGCTTATTATGAAATAATTTTTATGAACCTGCAGCTCTCCTCAGCTCTTTAGAATAGCCATTTCAAGTTCATTTTTTCCAGCCAGTTTTCTTCATAGCCATGGTAATGACAGCTGTAGCAAATGGTTCCACCTCATGCTTGATAAAAAAATTATTCCATTTGATCATGGGAAGGGTAAAGTGGAATATCAATAAGAAAGTTTGTATTGTTTTTAAAGAAATGTTTTTAACTTGGTTCTTAAGTTATGATGGTTTTGGTTTTAAATTAATCTTCATATTAAAACTGGCAAATACATGAGTAATTGCAGGTCTCAAATGAAAAAATTAATAAATGGTTTTAACAGTATTGTGCAAACTAATATCTCAAATAAAACATTTAAAAAAAAAGATAGGAAAGTAAAATTTTAAAATATTTGGATTTTTAAATTTTTTTATTGATTTAACAAATAATTAATAGGCTTTTTTTTTCTGTATACTTCTAACTGGAAACTAATCTTAGAATGAAATAACTACTGTTTAAATATTGTCATTTATTTAGTTTTGTGGTATCCTAAAAGAGCTGATAAATTCTTCTTGCTGATAACCAATAGAAAATGGATAAGATATAATTTTTCAAAAGAAAATTATTTATCAGTTTTGTTTTAATTAGTCCATCTTTGAAATCGAGTACATATTTGAAATTAGGACAGTTTATTAATTCAGTATATCAATGGCTTACTGCCATTATACCCTAGACTCATCAGGAGGCAGACACCACCTGCATTACAATAACAAATTCTGTCATATTTCTCTTTTAGCACGAATCGATTTTTCTTGGCATTCTGCTAGATACAGATCCCATCAGTTTGGGTACAAGTACTTGTTGGATAGTTTTTAAGTAAGAAGGAAAGCAGTAAATTTTTGAAAATTAATCCTCAGATAAAGATCCTCAGGAAATTATATCCTCAGATAAAAAGACTAACGACTTGGACTTAGATCAGGATTTATTAATTCTTTTTAATTCAGATAGTGAAGAATCAGATTTTGATGGCTTCATTTGATGTACAGTGTGCTGTAATTCCTTTGTATTTAAAATTTTGTAAAATTTAAAATTTTCTTTTGTCATGCAAATTTAATGTCTCATTGTTGCAACATATTTTGTAATATAGTATGAGTATGACAAATATGGACTTCTTTAGTGGGACAAATATGGACTTCTCAGTAAATATAAGTATATTCATGAACGTAAATATATTTTCAACATTTCTTACCTTTAATTTATTTTTGAGTTACAGTTTCATGCCATGCGTTTTTTTTAACTGATATGTCATATATCAGGACATAGGTCAAGATTTTGCATCTATATGGTCCACGACGATGTCATGTGCAATTTAATCTATTGTGGCGTTTATGCTGATGCAGCATTTCTGCTTAATTTTAATTTTCTTCCCGCCATTTTTCTCGAGTGCAGCGTTTACGCTGATGCGGCCTTTCTTCCAGAAATTACGGTAATTTATTTTGTCATACATTTGAAGCAGAATAATGTAGTGAATATCAAAAAAAGAAAAATGATGAAATGATTTAAATTAAATTGAAAGTGATTAAATGAAAAAAGATTAAAATAAATTGGAAAGATTATTAGTCTGTAATAAATTCATATTCGTTTTGATTTTTTCCAATTTATTTATAATTAAAATGTAACGGTTTGCAAATATATAAAGAGAGTTCACAATTTCATTTATGGTAATGAATATCTGAATTTTTTTGGAATATGAATCTGGTATTTAAACATGAATCCTGGTTTTTTTTTCAGGTACTCCATTATTTGCTAATCATTTCAGAGTTGGAGACTATGTTAACATAAGAGGTATCACGTAAGTAATAAAGTTTTCCTTAAATTTTATTAAATATTATTTCACTTTGTGTTGTTAGATGTTATTAGTTCCTTTAGTATCTGGTTGTAATGAAAAATTTTTCCACCAAAAGATATTCTTACTAAAGTTAGGGAAAAAACATGAAAGCAGAACCTTTAGTTCGGGTAGTAATCACCACCAAATCTATGATTTTTTGGTATCGTTTTGGTAGTTTTTCAAAGCATTTGTGGCCCAGAAACTTAGTGGCTGTGAGTCTAAAAACAGATCTGCCTCATTTCTGATGCTCTGTGCAGAATGGAAGATAGCACCAGCAAGATGTAGTTACAGGTGTGGAGAAAGGTAGAAATTCAAAGGAACAGTGTCAGGACTATATGATGATGAGACAAAAGAACCCATTCTAATCCATAAAGAGTCCAACTAGTGAATGCAGACACATGTGGTCTTGCATTATCTTGATGGAACATTACCAGAGCTCAGTTTGATGTTTTTCCTTGATAGCAGTGTGAATATGGACCAGCATCTCACTGTACATCTTGCTGTTGAGGGTTTTACCTTTTTCCAGATACTCTTTGTGGATAATACCATGGCAATCCCAACAGATACAAAGCATGATCTTTTTGTTAGTTAAATTGTGCTTTGTGATGCTGCCCTTTTCGGCCTGTGTAGTTGAAATACATCCATTTTTCATCACAAGTGACGATCCAGTCCAGAATTTGTCCCTGCATTAATATTCAAGCAGATTTAGTACATATCTGTTCTTATCTGCTTGAACCAGCGCATACAGCACCTAGCAACTAAACTTGTACATCAAGTTTATGTGATGCATAGCATGACTAAAGGGCATGGCACTAATGCCTAACTCCTTAGCAAGCTCTTGAGTGGTTGCATACTGATCTCCTTTCACAAGTTCTTGCAAACAGACCTCATCAACATCAGTAGGCTGGCCAGAGAGCTCTGTTTCTTGAATGTCATAGTCCTTGTTTATGAACTTTTGGTGCCGAACCTTCACTGTGTCACATGATACAACATTAGTACCATGGTGTACACATGGTGTGGTGACATCCGTAGCTGACTTTTTGCAACAGAACTGGACGTAAATGATTGTTCTAATCTGGTAGTGTGATAGTTCTATTTCAGACATCTTGTACTTACTTCTTATTACACAGATGTTCTTTTTTTTTTTTTTTTTTTTCTTTCTTTCTCTCTCTTTCCTTTATATCTCTGTTTGAAGTAGATTATGGAAAAAATATTTTAGGCAAGAATTTTTTTTTGGAATTTTTAATAAGAGATACCATTTTCAGTCAGATTTTCTGTGGTCGTTTTATCTTCACATTTTATGCTTTCAATTAGCAGGCTTGCATAACAAATTATGTATGTTTTCTTTTGCAAAAGCAGTGACGATTGTTTCTTTTACACCAATATATTACTTTCATCTATAAGCTAAGGAACATTTATTTTAGTTATTATGTGCTTTGCCATTTGGCACTAAACAGAAAGAGAGGGTTGTCCCATGGAAGACTTCTTAAAGGAAACTAGCTTGTATCCATGTTATACAGGGGGAACAATGAAAATGTCCGCGTAGCCAGCCCCAGGACTTGAACCCCGGACCGAACTACCAGCTTTTACCACTCAGTTGCTCGTGGGCTAAGGAACATTTATAAGAATGAATTTTTAAGTTTACGATGTATGGAAAAACTTAGTAAAAATACATTTGTTATATTTAAATTATATTATGAAAAATTGAACAAAATATGCTAATGTGTTTTCCCAATAATAAAGCTGGTTCTTATATTAATTTTTACTTCAGAAAGCCATAAGGGTTATTTTGAGGGTATATTTTATTTTTCAAAAAAATAATTAGCATTCATTCTTTTACAATAATCTACATTTATTCATATACAAATATGTACATTTTTTTTATGTAGAGTCATCTTTTGAAACATTGTTCATAGAGATCCAAATCCTGAATAGCAGCTAAAATTTCTTGAAGTTTCCTGTAGATATAGTGGATGGAATCTCTCATATCTAGCAATATGTGTTTCCCTAAAATGAGCACATCTAATTATATGATTGACACTCTAACGAACCATAGTAAATTGGCAACACAGCTGTCTGTAATTTTATTCCCATGAAGTCTTTAGACAAATCAAGATCTCTTGTAGGCTGATTTTCAATTTCTATCCATTCTGTTTTCAGTACAATTAATGCTTTTCATAGACAAATTTACCTTGAATATCTTACTTGTTGCAACATCAAGACTTTGAACATAAGCATCCATTTCTGTGGGAATCATTATGTAATCTATTCTTTCTGCAAGAAAGTTTTTAATTGGTGAGCACTGGTTGTATCTTATATTAGCAGATTTATTTGGCCAAGTGATATCATATTGACACACTTCTGTATAATTTCTTGTATCCATCAGTTTTTATCTGTTACAAGAACATAAATGCCTGAAATACATTCAGACTTACCTTTCGTGGCCTTAGTGGTGACTAGAGGTGAGACTTTCTTTTAATACAGAAAAATTGCCTGATAAAGATAACATGTGCATTTCTTTCATGTAAAGAAAATATAGATTGTCAAAGCTACCCCCCCCCCACTTATTAACTATCATTTGAGATCCTTGACCCATAAATGCAGTTTGATCTATATTTGATATATATATTAGACAATGAAACATAATGTTATAAAAGCTGACTACTGTTTGATTTGTAACTAATTACAACTTTCCAGTTGTAGTTTCAGACCATTTGACGCAGCTTTTATATGTAGTGCTTCCAGATTCTGCCATAGCAAGAAAATACATCATTCAAATGCTACTTATGAAAGAAAAAAAAAATCTGACTGTATTTGATCCAAATTAGATATGAAAACTCTTGAGGCCAATCTCACTGAAAATGGTAAACATAGAAGAAAATGAAAAGCAGTGGTGTAGGAAAATATTTTGTAATTTAGAACTTGAGTTTGCTAAGCATGCTATTTATAAATCTGTACGTTCATAAGTTATAAATGGTTTCTGAGTATTTTTTAGATGATGATATGCATATTTTTTGTTTCTGTCTAGAATTTAAAAATAATAATGATAAACGCAAAATAAAAAGTTAAAAAAAGTAATTTTCCTATTGAAATCAGAATTCAAAAACCTCAAGATATATGGTGTAAGAATTACAATTTTTCCTATGATTATTTGTAATTTAAAATATTTGCTTTAATGTGTGTGTGTGTGTGTGTGTATTTAATTATGGCAAAGCACACTAGGGCTATCTGCCTAAGAGGAGGGATGCCTTCATGGAGGACTTTCTAAGGAAAACTGGCTCGTATACACGTTACACATGGGGAAAACCACGAAAACATCCATGCAGCCAGCCCGTTCGCAGGATTTGAACCTCGGACCGAACTACCAGTGTGTTCAGCGACTTTACCGCTCGGCCGCTGGTGGGCTATTTGCTTTAATGATATATTAGTAGATTTAGTGATATTTCTGCCGTGTAATGAGATGGAAATTTCTGATGAAATATGCATATTATTCAGTAGAAATATTTTTAATTATTCAGTTTTTCATATTTATGGCTTTTAAGTTAAATGTACTTTAATGAATTACATTTAATATTTAATTGAAAATTAACAAATAATTCATTAAAAAAAGTAATTTTTTTTTAAAGTTTGTAAAAGTGCTATTCACACATTTACTATAGGTTGAAGTTTATGTATTCCTTCGAAAAATAGATCCTTTGATTTGTATAAAAATTTCTAGATTGGTGGAGCTTTCTTGGATTACACTCTAGATGTCATCACCAATCCTATATGGTAGTTTTTTTCATATGTAATTTTTTGGGGGGAGAAAGGGGATGCTTTAATGCTAGATCAGGAAAATAGAATTAAATTAGACTGATGCCAGTGGCTTCAGAAGACAGTGTTGACTGCATTATGTAAATAGTGAATTTATCTTCTGTGTAAAAAGTGCATCAGCACGTGCTGATTTTATTGAAAAGTATAGAATAGGTAAGCATTTACATGGGTGAAGAGATAGAAATTAATTGCATATTTAAACTCTTCTTGTGCGAATAGAGAGAATTTTTGCCTTTCAGACATAGAATACACTGGGGAACAATTTGGTAACATTATTTCTGTTGAGTTACATTTTTGAGCTGTTTTAGAGTTAAAATAGGCATGCTGATTGCAAAATTATAGTTAGCTTTCTTCTACCGTATCAAGTTGTTTCTCTACACCTTATGCGAATGTGATCGTTCTCTGTTGTGTCAAGCATAGATCATAGGTAGTACTACTGCTCTTCTATTGGCATCAGTGCATTTGTCACTTCAGTTATCAAGATTTTTGAAATAAGAAATAATTTTATTCATAAGGAATTTGACCAGCATGAGTTGAATGATTTGGGACTATCCAAAAAAGCTTCAAAGTTGTTAGCATAAAGACTGCCTGAGAAAAATTTTCTTAAAAAAGGAGTTAAGATATCCTACTTCCAATTGATAGAAAATGCATTTTAGAGTATTTTCAAAGGGATGGTGTATTTGTGTATTGCTGTAGCGTAAACGGTTTAATGGAAGAGTTGGAAATTTCAGCGAATAATGCAACTGAATGGTGATTGTACATCAAATAGTTCAATGCAGAGCTGTGTCATCTTCGGAATGTTTGATTGCATCAAATTGCATTTTTACATAGCCATCTTGATAACTTCCCAAAAAAATCTTAGTGCAGTCAGTGATAAGCAGAGTGAGCAATTCCACCAAGATTTGAAGGTTATAGAGGCACAGTACCAACAGTACCAAAGCAGATGGGATGTATATATGATGGCAGCTTATTGTTGGAGCATCAAGCAAGAATGCCCACAGATTAAACACTTCAAAAAAAGCCATAAGTGAAAATGTTTCCCATGCTATGTTTATTAGAAAGTATCTTTGCTGTTTGTATGAACAAAATTTGCCTTGCAGTAACTATATTACAGCCTTTGTATAAATAAAACTATTCTTTGTGAACATTATATTTGGTAAGTTTTTCCTTTATATGCATATTTTATGTAACTTTGAGACAAAAAGAGGGTATCCTGTAACTTAAAAAAGTTGACATGATAGATAAAAACAGATTATTTTTGGTTTCAGAGGCCAAAATTTAGTCAGAAACAAGTGACAGATCTGTGACAATAAAATTGGTATTTCCCAGTGTTATGAGATCAAAAGTATGCAGATCTGCCTGTAAAACCACAGTGCAAGCTCACACAGGTTTTGAAGGAATGCTTGCAAATCTCCAGATCTGAAAAGCAGTAACATAAGAGGAAAACGTGAGCTGAATGACACTGAACATAAAGTAATTGGAGGTTGTTATTGGAAAATATTTAGTCATGAAATTACTGCAATTGATGCATATCCCATTCCACTATAACTGATATCATTATTGGAAATGTATGGAACCACAGTTGTTTAGCCATAACCATGCTTGGCTGGCAGATGCTACAAAGTTATGCTCAAATTCATGAAATGAAATCACATTGAATTAACAGAAAATATTTATTGAGAATTTCAAGATGTACATTGTCAGCATCATGACTGCTATGAGCTCTGAATTTTGGGTTTCATAGTGGATTTGGATAGCCAACTTTTTTCATAGTTCATTTTGGATAGCCAACCCATATAATACAACCTAATCATTGACATAATCAGTGTCAAGCATTTCTTACAGTGATATAATGCCCAATTGACAACCTTCCTTAAACGTGTTTTCCAAAGCATGCTTACTCATACTTTGGTATCTGAGAATTTGATAGACTGATGTCAGTATGGAGAATACTAGATGAAGGTGATTTCTCCAAATATTTTTTACCCAAGTAAGCTTTGCTAGTGGAGGCATAATGTTTTGAAGCTGTTTCTTGCAATTAAAGATTGACTTTCCGGTTCCTGTGCAGGAAATTGTGAACAGAGATCAATATTTTACATGATGCTGTGCTGTCCATTTGAAGCTTATTCATTTATGTTTCAGCATGTAGTATGTACCCATACTTAAAACACAGGCTGGGCAGAATTGTTTACTGTTATGAATTTATAAGAACTGGATTAGCCTGCTTGTGCTGTGACCTTTAATGTAAGCTTAGATAAAAGAAAAGTGTAGGAAGTTTTACTATTATGTTATAAAAATTATTTTAAAATTAATTTTTTAATTGAACGTAATGGAAATCCATGTAAGTTTTACGAGATAACTTTTATTATCAGCTATGAGGTATCCTAAGCTGCCCCACAACTATGGCAGAACTGTTACTTTGAAATTATTGCTTGCAATTTCATTTGCAGCATCTGAAAAATTGTTAGCCTTCCAAACAAAATGATTGTAATTATCTCAGCAAATGATCCCCCCCCCCCCCGTATAATTCAATTTCTTTATTGTTCCAAGGAAAAACACGTGTATACAGGTGGTTTTGATCATATAGAATATTTGCATTGCAGAATTGCCAACTCTCCCGATTTTCGACCGCTCTCCCGCCAACCTGATTTACAATATATTTCTCCCAACTTTTTCTTATTCTTAAAATTTCTCACGATTTTTATGCAACTTGGCTTAATACTTTGTTATATGAATAAAAAAAAAAGTGTTTTTGGACATCTGAAAGCAATTGAATTTTCTCTACGTTATATCTAAAACAAAACCTTGCGAATCAGATAGCTTCTGCTTTGTGAATGAGAGCATTATACATATCCAGAAACGTCGTTCTCCAGTTCTCCAATGGGCTTCCAGCTCCACTGCGTGTCAGCTGGCATATATTAGCCAATGAGGACAAAGCAAGTTGTTATTTGGACGTTCTTTAGTTATTTCGTTCATTTTGTCCTGAGTTGTGTGAGTACACGTGCCTTAGGGAAATAGTTTTAGAAATTATCATCTTTTGTTACGTCTGCGAGAAAGGTCCGTTGTTGCGATTTTTCGATTTCGCATGGTAAAAGGGTGGATGTTCTCAAACATGTGCGTACACAAAAACACAAGGATAACATGAGTTGTTTTTAAAAAAACGAAAAATTAAATTTTTTTCGGAAACAAAGGACCAAAAAGTTATTAATGCAGAATGTCTGTTCTCTGCCTTTTTACTGGAGCACAACCTGCTACTGAATGCATCGGATCACGCTGCAGCTTTATTTAGAAAAATGTTTCCCGATAGTGAAATCGCCAAGAAATACTCAAGGTGCAAAAATCAAAACAGGTGCAATTGTTAAAGAAATGGGTTTGAAAAATAAATCTTCAGTTATTGATTGCATTAAAACAGCTCTGTTCTGCCTCTCTATGGATGGAAGCAATAATACTGATTCAAAACTGTATCCAATTGTTATTTCTTTTTTTCATCCATAATCTTCAGAAATTGAGTGCAGTTTACTTTATGTTCCCACTTTAGAAGGACATTTGACAGGATTTAATATAGCACAGCTAATTATTAAAACTTTAAAAGAAAATGCAGGCCCTCTGGATAATTGCTTAGCACTTGGTGCCGATAAAGAAAGGAAAATTCAGATTTTCAGATTATGAGGTGCACCTGTCACCTCTTAAATTTAGCAGCTGAAAAAGGGGCAGCTTCTTTACCAATAAATGTGGATGAACACATTGTTGATATTTATTATTATTTTGAAAGGAGTTCTAAAAGAAAGGAAAAATTGAAACAGTTCCAACAGCTGCATAACAGCAGTTTACAATTAGCAGTTTACAATTAAAAAACTTGGATGAAGTTATAAAATCAGCTAGGATTGACACCCAGTGGAGTTTAATTGGAAAACTGAAAGGTGCTGATGGAATTTTAAAATATAGTGAACTGTCTAGAATTGTGTTGGCCATCTTGACAGTTCCCGATAGTCATGCAGAGTGTGAGAGGATTCTCAGTGTTGTTGCGAAAACGAGGACTAAATTTTGATCTTATATTAGTGATGACACATTAGAAAAACTTTTATTAGCAAAAGTAGGCCTACGTGGCAATTGCTGTGAACAAAATTATGAAGTTTCTTTCTTAAAGAAAGCAAAATCTGCCACTATTTATAACATTTGTACGAAAACTGATTAAAGTGTCTTTCTTTTTTTTTTTTTTTTTTTTTTTTTCTAAACGATGCAAGTAATAAAAATGTTTTTTATGTGTAAGGTATTTTTGTGTTGCTTGCATTTAAGAATTAGTTACTATTTAAAGTTAATTCATTATTAAAAACTATATTTTTATCATTTAAAAAGTCTTTTTAACATTGTGAAAAATCTCCTGATTTTTTAGTTTTATAGGTTGGCAAGTATGGCATTGTATAAGATCAGCCACACATACATTTTTCAGTAACTATTATTTTGAATGAATTACTACAAACTTTAACATTTTGCAGGAGATATCATGGTTTCCAAGGTGTTATGAAGAGATGGGGCTTTAAAGGTGGACCTGCTACACATGGATGCACAAAAAGTCATCGCAGGCCAGGTTGTATTGGAGGAGGGGTAAGTGTTTTAAGTGCATTCAAAATAAAAATAATATACTTTAAAAAAAAGGCCTTTTCTTTCTATAATTGTCTATGTTTATGATTTTATCCTGTTGCCAAATTTATATGCATCAATCTAGAGCAGGAATTCTCAACCGGTGGTATGCAAAGAAATAAAATATATTTAACTATTAAGTTCAAAATTCTTGTGAAGAAAAAGAGCAATTGATAAAAATTTCCTACGATCGAATTCAAATTGAAAATTTCAAAAATAACACACTTGTTAACTTTTGGCTGAGTGGGGGAAAAAAAAAAAAAAAAAAAAAATTTAAAACCATCTCAAGTAAAGCTATCAAATTTTTATTGCCTTTTTTCACAACCTATTTGTGTGAATAAGGATTTTCTTCCATGTTGTGTTTGAAAAAGAAACATAGAACAAAATTAAAAAGTGGATCCTAATTTACAGTTAAAGCTAAGTGAAATAAGGCCAGACATAAAGAAATTCATCTCTCTTAAACAGACCCAAATTTCACACTAAAGTTTAGAATTTAAGTACAGTACAAAGTCTCTAATCCGGACGTCCATTATCCGGAATGATCTATATTCCGGACCTCAAAGCCACAAACTTACGCATGCGCGTAAAGCCAGTAAAGCGTTTACCCATGCGGGCTTCCGATAGTGAAGAAAGTAACAAAACGTTATTGAAAGTGAAAAATTTCGATTGACAAGTTAGTCTGTATTTTCGACACAGCAATTATAGGACTTGAACAGTGTAACTTTGTAACTGAACAAGAAATTCTGTCTGTTTATAGAATTAAAGAGAAAGTATTAGCATAAAAAAACGAAGCAACTTAAACAATTTACATTGATAGAAATGTTTACTGAAGTAAACAAATAAATATTAAGTTCCCTCCCCCTTTTTTTGTTTTGTAAATAGAACCACTGACCTAGAGTATCTATCTTCAAATAAAAGTGTCAAATATGCTAATTTTCAATACCCCAATAGCACAATGACTGACCTTGCTATAACATTATGACGATCTCAATGTCACAGTGACGTTGTAAGCATGGCTTATTATCCACTTTTTGTGACATCATACTGTAATGTTTATGTTGACGTCGTACTGGGACATTAATGAGAAATCACAATTTTACTTTAATGTGAAGTCACATTGTTACATTGTTGTGAAGTCACATTGTTACATTGTTGTGACGGTGTTGCATAGTCATGCTGCAATGTAGTTGTGAGGTCACAGTGCGACATACATGTTGCAACTTTTATTTAACATCACAGAGTGACGTGAATGCAGTGTATAAAATGGCATGAATATAATATCACTTAAGATGTGAATGGATGTCATGCAACAGTGTATTACTTTTTAAATGACTAGTGTAACGTCGCAGTGCTTCTATTTTAGAGAACTGCTTCAGTAAAACAGATAACTACAGCAATGTTTTATTAAACCAATAAGAAGTTATACTGATTAAGGAATGAAAATATTTCTGTAATATTCGAAATCGTAAAATTGTTGAAAATATTCAATATAATCATGTGAAATTTGTTCATCATCGTAAGGTTGCATCCTATTAAAGTTATATAACTACAATCCATTCATGATTTATTATGTATCTGTATAAAACATACTGTACCTGCAAATACAGAATGTATTATATATATAATCCAAAAGTGATCATATAGTCATTCTCTAAGCGTATTGCAATCCAAATGCTTCAGAGTATTTATTACATGTCCAGAAGTTACATAATTTTGCTTTCTATCTTTGGAATTTAATTATTAAAGGCATGTCATATATATTTTTCAAAATTTCTTAATTATATTAAAAATCTGAGTTATTATTATAGCTTATTAAAACCTTCTTATAATTTTAATATTTCTAAATTTAAAAATTGTTTTTTCCCCTAAATGTAAATATTTAAAGGAAATTCTATTTGGCTTGCAATATTTTTTCCTAACTGTTTGACTTTTAATACTGTTTTTTTCTTCGCTTTCTCTCCTCCTGATCGCTTTTTTTCCCAGAAAAAGAACTAAATTATTAGATTTGATAATTAGAGGGGAAAAAAAGCCATTTTAATACTACATCCATAGGATATTTTTTATCTGTTTGAATATTTTCTTGTGTAATAAAGTGCTTTTTTTTTTTTTTTTTTTTTTTTTTTTTGAATAAAAAGCTATTGTAAACTACACTCTTAATCTTCAAATTAGTGATTTGTTGCTTATCTGTAACATTAAACATATAGTTATAGGTACAAAAAACGGTGGATCGAAAACATGGCTCTGAAAACTAAATTACAGGAAATTTATATTTAATGCATTCTCTTTCACCATTATTTCTCCATTGACAAATTACAGTTTTATATGATCTTTGAACTATAAATTAAAATAACTTTATTACACTGCAGAACTTCAATATATCAGGTTTCAATGAAAGTTTATATTAGTTAGTTATCATAATTATTCTTTAGTATGTGAAATATGTTAGTGAAAAAGTTTTGTGTCTTGTTGGGTTAAGTTATGAAATACTTTGTAAGTTACCTGCAAATTATCAGGTCCTGATGAAAGTTACCCACCACCGCAAATATCGTCTGTGCAAACAGTTAGAACTGGCATGTTTAATCATATTTTCTCAGACGATTTTTGGAATTTAAAAGAAAGAGACATGCTTTTGAACACTGTGTTGTGAAATTTCTATATCATTAAGTACAAGGTATCTGAAATGGAACTATCATACTACCAGATTAGAACAATCATTTACATCCAATTCTGTTGCAAAAAGTCAGGTAAAGAATGTCACCAAATAATGTGTACAGCTTTAGGTACTAATGTTGTATCATGACACTATGAAAGTTTGGTACCAAAAGTTGAAAAACAAGGGCTATGACATTCAAGAAACAGAGCTCTCTGGCCAGCCTCCTGATGTTGATGAGGCCTGCCTGCGAGAACTTGTGAAAGGAGATCAGTATGTAACCACTCAAGAACTTGCTAAGGAATTAGACATTAGTGCCATGTCCTTTAGTCGTGCTATGCATAGCATAAACTCGATGTACAAGTTTAGTTGCTGGGTGCTGTATGAGCTGGTTCAAGCAGATAAGAACAGATGTGTACTAATCTGCTTGAATATTAATGCAAGGACAAATTCTGGACTGGATTGTCACTTGTGATGAAAAGTGGATGTATTTCAAATACACAGGCTGAGAAGGGGGTTGATCTGTGCGTGGTAAGCCCGTCGGCAGCCTCGCAAACTGCTATTTGACTAACGAAAAGATCATGCTTTGTATCTGGTTGGATTTCCGTGGTGTTGTCCACAAAGCGAATCTGGAAAAAGGTAAAACCCTTGACAGTAAGATGTACAGCAATATGCTAGTTCGTGTTGATGCTGCTATTAAGGGAAAGTGTCAAACTGAGTTCCGGTGCAAGAAAATAATGAATGTTCCATCGTTCCTTCAGACTTCTACCTTTTTTAACACCTGCAGTTACATCTTGCTGGTGCCATCTTCCATTCTGTGCATGAAGTCCAAAATGAGGTTGATCTGTTTTTGGACTCATGGCCACCAAGTTTCTGGGACGAAGGCTTTAAAAAAACTACAAAAGCGTTGGCAGAAAATCATAAATTTGGGTGGTTGATTACTACCTGCACTAAAGATACTGCTTTCATGCCCCCCCCCAAACTTTATTAATAATGTTTTTTTGGCAGAAAATTTTTGTTACTACCAGATATTTAAATAATGATGTTAAGTAAAAATGTCATATAATTTGCTTTATTAACTGATTAATGTCAGTCTCTTGTTTTGAATATTTCTGCATTTCCTAAACACATTTGCTACTCTTATAAATTTAATATAGTTTTACCCAGTTTGTTATCCAAAAGCCTAACAAATTTGCATGAATTAATAATTCTAGCTCTTAAAACAATCATTATCAAATGTGAATTACAGAAAATCTGTATTACTCACTTTTGAGAATATACACTGTACTGTAACCTTCATGGCAATGCTTAGGCACTGTTAGTGGCTCATACAGTAAACTGAATGAAACCTGAGCTTTTTATGTGATAAACTTCATATGTTCCACACTTTAATCAATACATATGGGGAGTTATTGTATACTGACATGAATGATACCAGTAGTAATTACTATATAATAAAATGAAATTAAGGAAATATTATTAAGAGTGAATTAAGAATGAAATGATTATCATCAAGAAAAATTAAGTGCATAAAACTTGTAGAAGTGTGAGAAAATCACAGATTTTTTGCTATCCACAAATTTTTGCAATTATAGAATGAAATTAGAAATATTTTTTGACTTAGTTATTTGGAATTATTTTAATATAATTATTTTACAAAGCAAAGATGAGAATTCAGAAAATATGTTTTAAGGTAAAGATAAGATAACATGAGATACATGCTTTTTTGCAATCTTCTCAATTAACATTAGTAGGAAAATGGAGTGGAATATCAGTTACCCTAAATAAGATATCTGAAGTTACATGGATTATTAATTATTTGTATGCTATCCGAAATTCATTTTGTTTTTATATGATTCCATTTTTTGCTTTGATATAAATAATATGAAGATATCATATTTTACAATGCATACTTTAAAAAAATTGTTAATGTAATCTAGATGAATCTGTACAATACAGAGACATGAAATAATGTAATGAGGTGCAAATACTTTATAAATAAGAATTTGAAAGGTAACAAATATATCTTGGACAAGCAATTATGAGATTAGTTTCAGATATTAAAATCTAATGGCATGACTCTGATGCTGTGCATTCACCTGATTGTCTTTATTAAAATCAGAAATGTTTTTGCAATGTGAAGTGCCAAAAAGGCATTAATACATATTTTAATATGGATTTTTTTTTATTAACAGATTTTAAAGAAACATTTTCTTAGTATACTTTTAATTGAAGAGAAATAGATTATACTTTTTTTTTAACTTAAAAATTTGTTTTTTATTTATTTTTAGCACAGTAAATATAAAAAATACATTTATGTCTTTCATTTTAGAAGCTATGCAATTAAAACTTAATTTCAGTTATTTATTTTAGTTCAAATGGAAATTGGCAGTATTTATGAAAATAAAAATAACTCCACTATATAATTTTATCAGAAAAAAGCGTATTTTATATTGTATTTCATTTTTCAAGTATATAAATTTACAGCTTTCATTAAAATAAAAAAATAAGAAAGATATAAAACTCCTTCTATTACATTAAAAGAAATATTTGTTAATCCTACAGTAAAAGGCAGAGCAATTATCCGGAGTTTTCAAATACCTCGACTGACTCTTCAGATACTGGTTTCTGCTTTAAGCAAATTTCTGATAGAAATTTATTTGTTTGTTTGAATGGGGACATTAAAGAAGAATTACGTGAGCAAGGGCAAGAAAGGACAGGGTGGGGGAGACTGAGAAATTTCTTGTGGTCACATTAAATGTTTTCTCTGACATGTATGTGACATCTCTGTGACTTGTATCATGGTCCCAAGAGTGACGAAAATGTAACATTGGGATGTCATAGCAACTAAGTGTGCTGTATGGGTGTGGTTTAAATTTGATAGGTTTAAATCATATAAAAATTAGTTCATCTGTCATTTAATACAATATTGCTGATTAATATTTTGAATACTTGTTATGATTTACCATTTTTTTAATATTACTTTTAATTAAATTTTCCTCCCCCCCCATACCCACAGCGCAAGCGAGGTGTCTGGAAAGGAAAGAAAATGCCTGGATTGATGGGTGGATACAGAAGGCTTATGGCAGGACTGAAGGTGAAAATTCAGTATGATATTCATGTATAAGTGATGTGTTCTAGAATAAATCCAAATAATCGAAATTAATATAAATTAAAATTCAAATTAATTATACTTTAAAATATAACTAAATTGGTGGAAAGTCACCATCACTTAATTGATAATTTGTAACATTTTGAAAAAACTTGGGATTGGTCTTGTTTTGGTAAATTTTATGACTTAAAAATGTAAACATAATCACCAGGAAGAATGCATACTTCGACCAAGACATAAAATTGGGTTAATGCAAATGAAATATCCGACTGCTATAAAAACACTATATTTTTGCCGCTAGCATTAGTCAACCAAAAACATATGTGCTATATCACAATATTAGTATGAGCCTTCAGGACAGGCTAAGATCATCAGTTGAAGAGGGCCTTGCCAAAGTGAACCATAGAGAATGCCTAATTGTGTGTACAGTCCATATGTCACAAGAACAGCTCTCAACAAAAAGTGTACAGCTATCTGTTGCCACAGAAATGTGCCTTAACAGATTTTCTTACTGATATCTTGAAGAATTATTTTTCAGTTTTCATCTTGAGACACTTAATGGCAAATTAGCAATATTTGTGTCATGATTTTAGAATTAAATAAAATAGTCATAGCATTGTTATTGCACCCAGTCTCAGAAATTGAATATTCAGTGATTTCTTTAGCTTTCTGAATCATGTCTAATTATTTTTCTCTATTTCATAATTTTTATATTTTATTACTTTAATAATAACAGAAGATTTCACCAATAGATTGATATGTAATTATTTAAAAGTGGAAATATAAATTTACCATACCACACTTTCAAGAAATACTTTTTACAAACAGCATTTCTTTTCCCATACCTCATGTTCAAACAAAATCAAAAGCTGCTCATTTTATCGGGGGAAGAGGGAGGCTGAGCTGAAATCAGGACTGCTTTTATTCTAATTACCAAGCTTGATTTTCACATTAATTTTTATGTATGTTTTTAAAGACACTATAACAAGTAATCTAGTAAAACATTCAAATAAAGACAAAACTGGGGATCTTTTAAATTATTCAGTTATGAATTTTATGCGTAGACATTGAGACTATCAGCCTGTAGAGCAGTGGTTCTTAACCGGGGGTGCGGGAGAAGCCCCTACCTAACCATGAAAATTATTAAATATCATTTATTAAATTTCTTAAAATACAATATTTGAAATCTGTAATAGTGTCCCCAGTATTAAAGCTCATAAAAATTGGTAGCACCTAGCTCACTTATCGCCAAAAGACACAGAAAAGAGCCGGTGCCGATGGGCGTATACACTACGCTACGAAAAGGCATGAAACGCTACAAATGAACGCGAAAAGGCAGCTAGGTGACGGAGAGAAGAAAAAAACTTTGTGGGAATACAAGCGGAGAACGTGTTATCCCAGCTTGCGCATGCTGCCGAGTTCAATATGTGCTACTCCAATGCAATCTATAGATTCACAGATTTGTATCTGCATCTAATTACCGCCTGTGTTATGTTGAGTCAAGTTGAGTCAACTATTGTGTCTGCGACAATGTGTATTGTGTATTCTGACTTTGTCCAGAAACCTCTTGAGACTAATACATTCTTAATTGCCCGTTCAAGCCGAAATAGGATTCAGTGACATTACAAACGTAAGAACATTATATATATTATATTACATTATTTCTAAACATTTAAATTGATTATAGTGAACCCCACTATGTCAAAAAAACGACACTGGAACGATAAGTATGTCGGTTATGGATTTACCTGCACAGTCGAAAAAGATGGCATGCAACAACCGCAATACATCTTGTGTTCCAAGATATTTTCAAACAGCAATCTCAAACCATCAAAGTTATTAGAGCATTTCAACAATCTGCATGGTGGCGAAAAAAGCGCATAGCATGAACAGCTTGAAGTCAAAGAAGGCTCGGCTTTGATACCAGTGGAACTATCCTAAAATTGTGCAGGACCAGCAATTCAAAAACCTTTATTAGAAGCGTCATATCAAGTGGCATATTTATGTGGGAAAAAAAAAAAAAAGAAAAAAGAAACCTCACATGATCGCTGAAGAGTTGATTAAACCTTCTGCTTTAATTATTGCTAAAAAAACAGTTTTAGATTCGGAAAAAGCACATAAAAAGAATCCAACAGATTCCATTATCGAATGATATTATACGATCGCGAATACAAGATCTCAGTGAAGATATTTTAATGCAAGTAATTGAAGACTTAAAAATCAGTCCACTAAAAATAAGCATGCAACTGGATGAGTCAACTGATGTTTGATAATTGTAGCCAACTTTTGGTATTTGTCAGGTATGTGAAGGGAAAAAGAGGTGATAGAAGAATTTCTATTTTGTGAGCCACTGGAGGTGAATACGAGAGGAATTGATGTTTTCAATCACATCAAAGATTTTTTTACTAAATATCAATTACCAATGAATGTGATTGGCTCAATATGCACTGATGGAGCCCCAGCAATGTTAGGCAAAAATTCAGGATTTTTTCACACATGAAAAGAGAATTACCAGAAGTTATAATAATGCATTGCACGTTGCATCGTCATGCACTTGCGTCGAAAGCATTGCCAAAAAGTTTAAAACAACATCTAACTACAGCAGTAAATGTAGTAAAATACATCCGAAGGCGAGTACTTAATCATCGCATTTTTCGTGCATTTTGCGAAGAAATCGATGCTGATCATACCATGCTCCTATATTACACCGAAGTATGATGGTTATCTAAGGGTCGCATGCTTAACAGAGTTTTTTGAATTGCGTGAGGAAATTATTCAATTACTGACTAATCAAAACTGTTATTTAGTAAAAGATTTTGAGATTAATGATTCAATGCTGAGGCTGGCCTACTTAGCAGACATATTTAGCCATTTAAATGAATTGAATCTATCAATGCAAGGATTTGGTATAAGTATAATAATATCTAGTGAAAAATTATCTTCATTTATCGCAAAATTAGAAATTTGGATACGTCGAGTAGAAAAGGGGACTTTTGCAAACTTTCCCTTGCATGATTCTGTTATTGCAAAAAATGAAAAGAATACAATTATATCCAACATTGTAATACATTTGAGACGATTGAGCGAATCATTCAATGGATAATTTTCTACTGGAAATATTACCAAAACTCAGAGATGGATACTGTATCCTTTTCTATTTGACTTAAATTTGATGGATGATAGTGATCTGAAAAAAGATCAACTTATTGAAATGCGAGCAAGTGGACATGTTCAAATGGTCACAGTTACGTTATCCAGAGTTGGCTCTGCAGTTACTCTTACTCTTTGCTACCACCTACTTGTGCGAAATGAGATTTTCATCGCTTTTGCATATAAAACTGCTTTTGCATATAAATCACTTGCATTTAAGTGAGAAATCGCTTAAATGCAAGTGATGACTTATGCGTATGTCTTTCAAAAAAGGAACCTCGCTTCGCCAGCATATATAATGAACAAACAACAACAGACTAGTCATTAATAAAAATAATATTGTTTTCTATTTATATAAAATGTACAATGTTTTTCAATAAACAATAAGTTTTGCAAAAAATGTATTTTTCTAGACTAAAAAAATTAAAACACATTTTTCAATGGGGTGTGGAGATATATTTTCAGATTCAATGGAGTGCGACTCGCTAGAAAGGTTAAGAAACACTGCTATAGAGGAATATCTTACGGCAGCTTGCTGGCATCCATATCATACATAGAGAAAAACATGTTTTAGAAGCTTCTTTTCACCCGTTACTGATACCTTTTTGCCTAATTTTCTTAACTATACACTGAGATACTTCACTTGTTTGAAAAGTTCTTTTCAAAGCTTGAGGGAGAGGAACTACTAAAGAGTTCATCGAAACTTCAAAAGAGCAAAATTCAGCAATATTGTACTCAATCTGACTTGCGTGAGATTTTAATGGTTGACCTTTCTTGAATATAAAGATTCTTTTTTTTTTTTTTTTTTTTTTTTTTTTTTTTTTTTTTAAATTTAGGACTCATTATGACAATAGAACTAATGAAATGTAACAAGCTGCAATACTGAAAGAAATAACAATGGGAGCAAAAATAGTTCTTCAAAGTAGTAAAAGCTGTCAAGAAGGCACACGCACAAATGTGGACAAAACTGAGACAAATAAATTATCTTTTTCCCATTGCCAACATTCACTAAAATCCAAATAATAATAAAACATTCACTTGCTTACCCTCACTTAAAATATATTAACCCTGTTGTTATAGCAACTGCCGGCTAACTAAACATATTGTCAAGAACAGTTCTCATGGTAAACAGATAGTACACGTTTTGCAGAACTTGGGGGATGAAATATAAATATTGGATTTGGCATAGGTAATTCAAACACTATGTGTTGGTGGTTTGTAAAATTCCATGCTTTTTACACAACATTTGAAAATGAATCCTGTGACCATCAACCAATAAAAGTTTCAGATAAAGAACATTGTCAAAGCTGATTCCAGATAAAGTGTTTATGCTGTTATAGGCAATTTTGTTTGCCAAACTAATTTTGTGTGATACTGAAAAACATTTATCACATATGAAATAAAATGTTAATCCCAATGTTTTAATTAAATTGCTGTCATTACTTTCAAGTTATGAAATGTATAAAAATTAGATTTTATTAATGAAAAAATATGATAATTTGTAATTATGAAAATAAATTATCTTAGTAGTTTTAAAACATCTTTTCCAATACTATGTGCTCCATTGTATATCTTCATCATATTTAATAGTTCTGTACATGCTTCCATTCATAAATCTAGTAAAATTATATTCTTTAAGACATATGAGTTGCCAATGTCTTGCTATATGGAAAGCAAGGTTTAAAATTTTTATTAACCCAAAAGACCTATTAGCCTTGAAACGCAATTTTGTGTTGTTTCACTTTTTGTTTGAGTCTTTTGCCATTTAAAAAATGTAAGATTTTATTCTTTCATGTTTAATCTGTCTTTTGATTCAGAAACTAAATTTTTAGAAGCAGCAAATGCAGTTTTAAGAATTTTTTAATAACTTTTCACTCTGTCTGATTTAAGTAAAAATGCATTTAACCCCTTCACAATGGATGTATCCCCATATGCATCAGTATTTAATCCTCTTACGCGATGGCATGCCGCTTAGCACGACGGGCCTTGGAGATAATATGCAATAGCACAATCTCACAGGACAGGGTATTTTACAAGCCTGTAACTATCAACGATAAAGGTTTCCTGTAATGAATCTGTAACCATCAAATGAAAAAAAGAAAAATTCATTAAAAATATATTTTATATCAATTGTTTTGATTTTTTCTGTAATTGTATCTAACAGTAACATAATCATAATACAGAATAAAGATATTCTGAAAAGATTTTAATTAAAATCTAAATGCAAAATAAAATGTTTGACTCATCTTGATTAAATGCACAAAACTTATCTAAATCTATATCTAAACATATGTAAAAAATTATTAGATATATGAATGAATTATTATAGCATAAATGATTCAAAAAAGAGACAGCGTGTTATAGTCATAGCATTTCATTAGTTGAGAAATACATTTTGGGTTTGGACTTTTTAATTATTTCTATTAGAATAATTAATCCTGAGAATCCCCTTATTTTAGGCACATCTACAGGAGAAAATTTTGATTTTGGATAAAGATGGATTTTCACTCATATTTTCTTAATAGAAATTTTTACTTTCTTCATCTCTACATGTAATAAAAGAAAGAGTTTGTCTATGTGTGTCTATTGTTTGCGCTGCGCGTAAGCTAATAGACCAACGATTACGAAATTTGGTACATCTAGACAAGAGCCAGTGCACCTCAAAGCGATTTTTTTGAAATTCGAATTCGAATTTTTTTTTTATTTTATATTTTGTGACGAAATTGCGTAATTTTGAGACATAATGGGCTATAGGAAAGCGAGATTTTACTCTACACACTCCATTTTCACATCGTCATGAAACGTAGGCACTTAGGTATTTTACGAACTTAAAATAAATTTTGTGTTTCAATAAATCGATTAAATATGAATTTATTTAACAAAGTGAGCTTAACACCTTTTCAAGGCGATTTTTTTCTAAAAAAGTTTATTTTAAAAATGTACCGTTTATTTTTCTTTTTGATTTTTGGACACGTTAAACTTTCATCCTTGTGCGATTGCTTTTACACAAAAAGAATTTTAGGAAAAATGATAATATTTTGTATTTTTAAAAACATTTTTTTTAAATGAAAGCTTCCGAGTACACATCTCACAATCTTTAAAAATGTGATTTTGGCAACAATTTTCTTTTCTTCTTTCTTATTGTTGGTAGATTTTTGATGAAATCGCATCATATTGAATAGTTTCATTCTTTTAGAAATATTGGTTTGGCAACAATTTTTCATCGTATTTCTTACGTTACTGTTTTTAAGAGATTGGCATATTTCATTGTCATTTTTATGTATATATAAAACTTTTTTTTTTTTTTTTTAGTTTCTTTCCTGTTATTTTTTGCTTATTTCACCGTAAGATATTGAAAAGATTTACATGATTTTTTTTCTTCAACGGAAAGTTGGTTAAATTTTTTTATATGTAATATATTGTTTTTTTTGTTTCGGAAGTTTTCTGCAGAGTAAAATTCTGCGCAGTTTTTAAATTTAACATTTGGTGTTCCCTTCAGGCATTTTTATGGTACATTTAAAAGCCAGACGAAGGCTGGCAGCATAGCTGCTAGTATATAATAATATGTTCATTAGATCATCATCAAAGAAAGTACTGAAAAATTAATCTCATTCACATGAATTTGAATTTAATTTACTCCTGCAATTTTTTTTTTAATTCATAAAGCTTTAATTACTTAACAGATTGAGTTTATGATGGAATACCCACTGTTGTGCTGGATTATGAGTTGGAAGTAAAGCAAGCTTCCGATTCGGTCTTTGACAAAATTTTTATATCCAAATTCCTATCTTCGCTTAAATTAGCGTCTTTGTTATCAGAATAATCCCTCATGGGCTCATTTTCCATTTGATTATACTCTTCTGTGAAATAAATTTGAAGCATCTGAAACTGTCCAATGTTTATATCACTTGAAGCCTCAACTGTGTTTTGTGTACTGTATCTCCCGCTTATGTATCTAAACAAATCACCAGAATTGTAATATACTTTACAGACACAGCAACAAATAGGTTCAAATAAGCTAACTGATGTGGACACAAAGCACCATCTAGTAATTAAAAAAAATTGTATAAGAATGTGTATGTTTGAAAGTGCATATATGATACACCCATTTTGTATATGAATGCAAGCAGCAATGTATCAGTGCATCACCCGGCTACTAGTGACATTTGGGACCGATGTATATATGACTCGCCCATCTTCAAAGGGGTTTTCATTTCAGCAGCATGGCGTAAAAAGGTGTTAATTCATGGTATATCTAACTGAAAACATTCATTATTTTTGTAGAATTACATATTTTTTCCCTTTTCATACATACAAAAGATATGTCCCCCTGTTTAGTCTAAATGCACATTCATTTAATAAGCTATCAAATATTTCACTATATCACCTGCCCGTGTCTATTGATAATCCATACAGATAAACCATATTAAACTTTAAAACAACCCTTTTGGGCAATCATTAAAATTTGAACCCATTGATGTTTTAAAAAATGTTTCCTTCATTTTAGTTTCTGTATTTTATTAAATCATGTAATTTCAAATGTTTTAAAAGATTTTTTAATCTTGTAAACAAGTTTAAACAGTTCAAAATTCTACAAATCTCTTTAAAAAATTCTCATAATTTGTGGGAATTTTATTTACTCTTAAATATTAATTTTAAGAATATCATTTCAGTGTTCTTTATTCTTACCAATGTATTAATCAAGATGATTACTTTATAAATATCTTACATATAATTCATTTAACACTTTGTTGACAATTAATGTACTATTTGTTTGGAGAATACTTCTTATTTCATTTTACATCCAGTATGAAGTTGTGCAACTTTGAATAGGACATCTTCAAAACAATTGCCCATCGTAAATGTGCTGGCATTCTTTTGCAAGTTTGCTACTGTTCTTTAAGGTAGAGCTACTAGCATTCCCAGTTTTTCATCACATCGCCTGGTCTCACAACGGATCACAAAATATCCCAGTTCTTAATTTTTAGCCTTTGCTGAAGAAAACATTTGCCAAGATTTGTTTAATCTGTTTATATTTTATTTTGTTTTACATTAATATCATATTACTATGTTTATACATTCAATAGTGTATATATTGATATTATTTTCATCATATTTAAAATTTTATTTATTTTATTACTTTCTTAAATGAAAGCTTTCTTATACTACAGTGGATTTTTTCTGTCTAAAACTGTAAGAAAATCACATAATTAGCCAAACAACATGAAATTTTGAATATCTTTTAATATATTTTATGCCAAACTCTCAATTCAATAACTTGAATAATGCATTATAAACAGGACTGCTACCTGGAAAAGTCAGGGAAATTGAAAATTACTACCTGGAAAAGTCAGGGAAATTGAAAATTGACCAAAAAAGTCGAGGAATTTAAATATTTCACTCAAAAGCTGGAAGTCTGGGAATTTCATACGGCGATCCCCCCCCCCAAAAAGGCGATTTTCATGCCAATATTGTAATTGTCAGGTAACTTTTATGGGATGCACCTCGTAATTTGCCTTTTATCACAATCATCGGAAGAGCATGAATGATGTCGACCAACAGGTCCAAGTTGCATTTGAGATATAAATGATGTTATTCTTTTGATGCAAGACCACTATGTAATGCTAGTTATTAAGTTAGCTTCATGAGATTTTTTCCCATATGCACAACATAAATCTGATTTCCTTCAAATTCTTCACAAAGCCATCAAGGTGTCCACCAATGTTCTGCTGTAACGAATAACACAACTACATTAGCATAATACGAGAATGGTCATGAGATTTTGGCCATTTTTGTCTACACATAATTAACATCTTGATTTTACTTTCTGTTTTAGATTTGGAGGATCAATACAAAGTATAATGTCATCTATGTCCAAGGACGAGCTGTACCAGGTGTTACCAATAATTATTGTTACATATATGATTGCTACAAAGAGAAGAAGCGTCACACAGAAGATAATCCTCCTCCATTTCCAACTTATTATCCAGAAGATTCTGCTGGACTACTTCCAGAAGACATATTTGATGAAAAATTGCATAATTTTTCTGATCCTTCTATTATAGTTGAAGAGACTGAGTCAAATAAGTGAGTTATGTAGAAATGTGTAGATTATTTTAATAAAATATGTTTAACAAATTTGATTGCTTCTATAGCTCTAAAAAATGTGCTAAGGGTAATAATTTAAAAAAAGAAATTAGGGAAATTCCTTACATGACGAAAATTCTCATGGTGACCACCTATTAAAGTGTTCAGTATTTCTGAGACTGTAGTTAAATAGTAGTATTGAATATCACATCTTCAGGGCAACCTGTATGCAGAAAGACCAAAAACTGTAATGGTCATCTCAGAGATTTTACTGTGTTTGAGTTCGCGATTTTGTTTCCAAGTATAACATTTTTATTACAGACAGTAATCATAATGACATTTGTTTACATGTTAGTTGCATGAGAGGAAAAATAAAGTTGGCTACATAATTCAATCACTCACTGATGAAATGTGATTGAGAGCTTTATTATAATAAAAGTGAAATTTAAATGACGGTGAATTCTCAATTAATTATGTACAGAAACTGCCCAAATGGCATAATGATTAGTAATACCAACTGCCATATCGAAGGGCTCCAGTTGAAATCCTGGAAAAGGTATGAATGTTTGTAAGCAGAAGGTGTCCGTGTGCAAGGGGGTGTTCAAAATTCATGCAAGCTTAAAAGTCCTGTCGAGAGATAAGGAAAGAGTGTGGAAGACCTTGAGACTGCTTCTCTGAATGTTCTCCTTCAAAGCTGGGATGGCACTACACAGTTGTTATGATGAAACTATACCAATATATTATATTGTCCAATTTATATATATTATATTGTCAATATGGTGGTGAAATTCTGGTGTCCCATTCACTTATGCCTGTACCTATCCATGTGTAGATCATTTGCAAAAATTGCTCTGCAGCTGATACATGAAGATAGAAAATTTAAGACATCTGGAAAAATTCTGCAATAAGAATGAAGGATTTTATTCAATCCAACTAAACAGAAGCCAGTAGAAGAATGATGTATGAAACAGGTAATATCAGTATGAAGAATTTATGATAAATTAGCAAAATGGCTATGTTGGAGCATGGAATAAAAGGGCAAACTTTGAAAGCAATAAAAAATTATAGCTTTAGGCAGTGATTGCCATATTTGTTAAGTCAACTTGACCTTTAAAAAATCTGATGTGTACACCACAAAACTTCCTTGTACGGAATATTAAATGATACGAATTTTTTCTTGCATTTCATTTAAACTTATTGAATTGAATTAAATCTACTTCATCGATAGCGCATAAACCTTCACCATATTTGTTTATCATAGCGACACTCTGGCGCTAGGTTCACTTAACAGCGTTATATTTCGTTCATATTATAACTCAGAATGCACAAAATTTATATCATTTGAAGAATTATCTAATCGTTGCCACATGTTCTATTCAATTACTATAATAAATATAGACCAACGTGTAAAAGAAATTAAGCAAACAAAAAAAGAAAGTTTTTCACAAACGATTCAGTATTTCTCATTCAATTAATTCAGTTCTCACTTTGCGACAAGGCAAATATCTATATTAAAAATTAAAAGTAAATCTTAAACACTTATTTCCTCGAAAAAATTCCAGAAAGGATTAAGCATGATTTAATTTGCAATAATAAATGAAGGTGTTATCTTTGTTGTTGAAAAGCTTAGTCTCTCTAGATTGGCTACAAATTTACTATTCTGCTGTTTTAAATGTAAACCAACATATCTGCCATGTTATTTAAAAATTAGGCTTAACAACACATGAACAGCTTTTAAAATATTGATTGATAATTCTACAAATATTGCTAGATTTCCTAAAAGCATATTCTCTTCAGAATTCATTTTAAAGCAGTTTTATAATTTTTTTGGAGGAAAAGAGTTTTATTCTGTCCTTACATACAGATGTCACGCAAAAACATTGTTAAATTGCATTCGATAGCGGTCAAAATGGATATTTTCATTGAAATATACTGCCTGAAACTTTTTGCAATTACAATACTTCCTTTTTACTTCGTACAAAGAAGTAAAAAGAAGGCATACAAATCTCTTCCAGAAAAATTTTAAAATATGTGCAAATTTTAACTAAACGTTTACTTGTTTGTCATTCATTTAAAAGTTAATTACAATTCTCTGAAAAGTTAATTTACAGTGTACATTAATTACAATTAGATTACCAGGGTTTGTACACATTTCTGCTCACGGAAATTAAATACTTTTAAGGACCATTACCGAAAAAAATTAAGGACCTATGAGCAAATAGCAAATTCAATTAAAATATTATCTGTGCCTGAACTTCACTTTTGTAATACCACACAAAAAACAAAATAGATCCATAAATAGGATGCATTATTATTAAACATAACTTAATTAACATAATTATTAATTAGTTTGAGCATAAAATATACTTTATGAAATTTATCAAACAGCATTAAATATTTTAGACTTACAATAGTTCAGTATATTTGAAAGAAGATAAGTAATAAAATTTTATTTATATTTTACTAATAGTTTCATGTTGATTTTTTGTCAAGCGTAATAGTTTAAAATGAGAAGTAAAATCATAATCAGAATGATTTATAACAACAAAAGACTGGCTGTTGTCACTGCTGCTTTTTACCTAGAGAGAGACCTGCCGATCAGAACAAAACTGAGAGGCCTGATGTGGGCACGGTTAGCTAGTTTTGAAAGTTAGTTGGGCTCTGTTTGTTGGGGTTAGTGTTGTAGCTTCATGTAGAGTTCCAGGGGTTGTAACCAAGTTAATATACTTTAAGGTTCCAATAAGCCACTAAAGCACCAGAGGTGACACTAAGTTGCTTTGTATTATTTTAAGTCTCACTAGATACTAAGAATAAGTTTTACATGAATTTTTACATTTTGTGTTTAAACCTTGTGTCACGCTAAGGAATAATGAAAGGCAATAACTCACTTCATTATGCAGAGATAATTTTTAAGACTAAGCAGTTAGTTATAAATTAAATTAGGTAGTTAGAAAAACCTTAGTTCAGTATGGATTTACATGATTACTATCAAATTTTATTTATTTTTTAACAATAATTGTTAAAAGTCCCTATTAAAATCACAATCTAATAAAATTTCACACTTTAAAATACATGCAATTTATGTCATTGATTCTTAAACGATATTAGGATAATTATACATTAAAAGCTACAAAACACTCAACAAAATATTTATGCATCTTTTTAATTTGAAGCCTTCCCAGACATTTTGGCTTAATTTATATCAATTTTCTTCTCTTTAAACATATTTCCTAACAATTAAAAATCTGTTTGAATAAACAAACCAATGTTCTGACTAGTTTCTGCGTACTTTATCTCTTAAGTTGTCAACCTCTCCACAATGTACCTATGAGGGTTTAATTGATCTGGTAAAAGTTAATAGTCCAAAATCATAACAAATTCAAACATCAGCAGTGATAATGCGAAGACAAAAAGTTGCTAATTATCAGAGCTGGCAGGAACTAATGCAACGAGCAAGCAGAGATTAAAAACACATTCTGTCTTACACACCAAAAACCTCAGTTTAAAAACTGTCTAAGCGATTTACATTCTGGGGAGGAAATAGAAACTGGAAATTATAAACTGGGTAATTTACATAATAATACCTGTATATATATTTGAAGAACAATTTTCTTTCTCCATATGTACTCAGTTTCTTTCTTCAACACGCTTCCTTTTCATTTTAGAATTTTTGGATTTAATTAAAGATTTCTGTTATTCTAAAAAAATTAAATGCTTTTAGAATGTATAGAGAAAGCTGCTAATTTTATTTTAGTAATATGAACATTCAGGAGAAATAGGAAATATATATGGTACAAGACGGTTACAGAGCTAGTGTGGCAGAATTTTTAGAATTTAGTGACACACCGAGCAACAAAATGTAGAAATGGCAAAACTTTTAGAATTTAGAGCAGACACTGGAAGCAGAATTTAGAAAGGCACTAGTCAGCAAAATTTAGGATCTACAGAGATAAGTTTAATATTCCACATGATTGCACCAGGTGGGAAAATGCCTAGCATCAGACCTGTATATGATGCATTAAGACATATTAAATGAATCATTTAAATTACCAGTTTTCAATTTCTTTATTAATAAAAAAATTCCTTTCTATGATGCCTGTCCACGTGATAAGATTAGAAGCATTTTAAATATTTTTCATACTTGTGTCTAGTGAAACAGTAGAGAAAATAAAGGGAAGATAAGCATGTTAAGATTCTAGTATCAGAAGTAAAGCATTCAAATATTATGTTTTCATTGTTCTTCCAGATGTTCTCCAAAAAGTAAGAAATTCATTGCAGAACTTTCTGCAAAATACATCCATTATGTGTTAATAACCATAGAGACATTTTTCATTTTGTCACAATTTTTCTAAAATCTTCTGGAATGGTGGGTCTATAAATCTTGCTTTCAAATCCTTCTAAACTTTCCAAGTTGCAATGTCTAATTTCCGGAAGAAAAATTACGCCTACCAATTTTGTAACAGCAAACAGCCAGAATAGAAGTCGCCAAATTTAGAGCCGTTCAATAAAAGAATTCATATCCCCAAAAGCGAAGGAAAGTTGTTTAAGAGCTCTTCATTAGAAAAAGTGAAATAATTTCAAAATACTTGTTTCACTTCTTGCTCAGTATCCCACCATTTATATTAGAAATAGGAACAAATCATAATCCATTCAAATAACCATATTTATCAGTGAATTGCCAAAAATATACCTCCAAACTGCTACTTCACACTCAAAATGACAGTCGTAAAAACAGACAGAAATTTTACAGGATTAAAATTAAGGACCTTCTGCCGATTTTGGCCAAAATTAAGGACTTTTAAGGACTAAAAATCAATTCAATAAAACTTAAGGACTCCTAAGGACCGTACGAACCCTGATTACCCATGTTGCTAGTTATTCATACATTAATTAGCTTGGGTAATCAGGGATTCAGTATAGTTCTTTAACATCCTCTTAACATTGATCCAACATTTAGTTCATAATGTGTACATTTGTTTAACTACAGAACAAGATGTCAATTTGACTTGTATTCCTCGCAAAGCCATAGTTTTCTCTCTCTCCACAGGTAACTAGCAATCTCTGTGGTTAATGACTTTAGGTTAACATTCCTAGGAAAGTATCCAGTAGTCATCTGTAGTTAAAAAGAAAACTATCAGTTAGGACTGTGAATCAAATTCTATGGTTTTAATGAGATATTGGTGTTTATGTTCCTATAGAAATTAAGTCTTATAAATGAGCCAACTTTAATATATAAAAAAGTAAAGGACTCCATACTTAGCTTAGAAATGTAATGAATATGGTTTCCTTTGAAATGTAGTATTTTTGCAACATTATGTAGATCCAGAAGGGGGGAAAAACCCCTACCAGAGTATTGGACTAATTTATTTCCTCTTTTCTTAGCACTGACAACATTCATTAAAATAAGTTAGTTTTCTCGGATATTGAAACTTCTCAAATCATTAATAACTGGAGGGAGGTCCTGAGAAAATGAGAAGCACATCTTTGCTGAATAAAATACCTCTAACCAATTCAAAAATCACAAGGAAAAGAGATTAACAATCATAATTTAATTAACTGAAATATATACATACATATTTCAAATTTATTTAAAATTTTCTGTATTAATCAACATGCAAATACAGATTCTTGATTTACAATTTCATTTTAATTTGTGTCCAATAAATTTACATGATTGAAGCTTGATGTCTAATACTCCATAATTTTGTGAAGGCACAAAACATTGTTTTCCTTCCAACTATAAAGCTATGGTCTTTATCACCTTATGATGTAGCCTCAAGACTATTTTGTAACTTGGTGCATGGCATGCGCTAAATAGTCAACATTACCAGATGTTACGCCGGCAACAGAAATTCTCCCATCTTTGGTAAGATAAATACTGAATTCTTTGGTCAACTTTTCAACCTAAATTTTAAAAAAAGAAAAAAAATTAAGAATTCTGACTTAGGCACGTTTGGCTATCTGATACCTTCAAGTAAAAACAAATATAATATATTTTCAAAAAAATCTGAAAGCTTTTTCAGATTTTATATTAGGCCCAAAGGGACTTTTTTTTAACCTTCTGTTTGTTACCTTTATTTATTAAATGTTCTTTGCACTTACCCCATAAAATCCAATTCAATAGCAATGTCGCAGAATAATTTTAAAATGAGCATATCTTTAGAATTTCAGATACACAGTCTTGCATGCTGAATAATAATTTTTTTTTTCGTACAGTTTTGTCATGGCTCGCTTTGAAATCATCAAGTTTGTTAATCAAAACTTCATTGAAGTGTTACAAAATATGACACTGATAATAAAACAAATTCCAAATTAGGGCTTCCAGATGCCCATATTCGGTGTAAGATTACGTTATTCAAAATTTGATGGCTGTAGGTACTGTTGTTTTACCACAATGCGAGAAACATACATACATTTATGCAGATTCTAACAATTTAAAAAGTAAACCGACATTTAAGGATCTCAACGCAAAATTAAATTAATAGCCCTTCTGAGCTAATACCCTTTGGGCTAAAAAAAAAAAAAGCATATAATGTACACACAATGTGCTTATCAGTAAAATGATGAAAATGTAATTTTGGAAAATTTTTGAATCAACAAATGATCAACTATATTTAAAAACTTTTATCTAAAATTAAATTTTTTGCAAGCTATAATGCATGTGAAATTGTTGCATTTTTTATTCCAATAAATCTACAATTATAACGAAATCCTTAAATCAAATAAACTAACCAAAAATTTTTACTTTTCCAAAAACAAATATCCAAACTACGTAATCAAAATTAAAATTTATTTTAAGACTTCTGGATTTTTATCTTCATATTAATCTTTGTTCAGCAAAGCCAAACTGCCAATTTTTAGCATTACTGCTTTATTTTCATAAGATTATAAATATACGACTTCAACTTCCTATTTAAAAATATTAAAAGTGAATAAATTTCCAATATATTTAATAAAAGTTGTTATACTTAGGTATGTAGTATAATATCAGCAAAGATTTTTAATAACTACAATACAAATATTCATAAACTACAGTCAAAAGTCGTTAATTTGGACACCCATAATCCGGAATGATCTACAATCCGGACCTCAAAGCTACAAACTTTCTGCGCATGCGTCGCTACAGCTGCGAATTTGCGTGTGCGCAAAATACGTTTACGAATGCGCGTTTACTGTATAACGGACGGTATAAGCTAAGCTAAAATTATCTAATTATCTATTTCAGTTAATGTTGCAGATTGCTGTTGTTCCTTAATCTTCTAATTGGATACGGCTTATTATTTTTTGCAGACTGTTAGAGCAATTTTATAAAAGTAAGCTTGAACTTTCGATTATGTCAAATAGAATTTCCGATTTATATTTACTAATATGTAACGGATCTACAAAGCGAAAGTATGTTTCGGAATCCATTAAACAAAAAGTGGAATTGCTGCAAAAATGGATAAAGGCATATCCTTTGTTTATCTAAACTTTAATGTTTGTTTATCTTTAATGCCCTGGCGCGCAATGAATTGGAAGTTGATCTGTCAGCACTATCCTTATCTTCAGGGCAGATGTTTTTATTTTATTTGGCTTATAATTGCTTACTAAATGTAGTATTTCATTTCGATGTACTCCATCTTTGATATGATTTAAATCAAAGCCTCCTCATTATAATTCGCTTCCGACATCGAAGAAAGTAATAGAGGTTATTGAAAACGAAAAAATTTCGATTGACAAATTAGTCGGTATTCTCGACACAGCAATTATAGGACTTGAACAGCGGAACATTGTAACTGAACAAGAAATTATGTCTGTTTATAGAATTAAAGAGAACGTATTATCACATAAAAAATGAAGCAACTTAAACAACTTGCATTGAAAGAAATGTTTAAGAAAGTAAACAAATAAATATTAAGCTTTTTTTTTTTTGTAAATTTTGATACACTTTAGATCATAATTGTTCTTTATTTCGTAAATTACGGTTTCATATTTTTAATTTTATAATTTCTTCATGCCATTTTACCAGATTTAAACTGATGATCTATAATCCGGAAAAATCGATAATCCGGAATCGCCGAAGTCCCGACGAGTCGGGGTTAACGACATTTGACTGTACTATGAAATAAGTGTAGGTATACTACAAATTATGAAATAGATATACTACAATTTATGTCAAATATATTGTAAATTAAAGTAATTCAATATATTATTGATACTTTCTTGTTTATACGCAAGATAAATTAATAAGATGCACACTTATTGCTTTTGAAACTACGCTGTTGTTATAATTAACAGCAGTTATAATTTTAAATGTAAGATATTAAAAAATTTCATACCTGGTCTTGGGTCATTCCAGTAAAACAAAACATGCCTATTTGATCTGTGATGTGCTGCCAGTTTTTAGAGGAACCCTCTTTTTTTAAGCCCTCACGTAATCTGGTCCTCATTCCTATTATTCGGTCAGCCATTCCTTTCACTTCCTGCAACCTGTATCCAAAAAGTGATTAATTTATATTCAAATCCCATTCTCAAAATAATATATCATAATTGTTTTAATTTTTTACTTTCTATTTCATTCAATAAAGAGTAATATTATTGATTCCTGTGCTTTTTATCAATATCTGAAAGATGATGTAATTGTTTTCATAGAGATTTACTCATCATGAGCTGGATTCTTGATATACCAGCATGTACATGAAATGGGCAATTCCATTAATCATATCTTCATAGTACAGGACAGCATTTTATTTACAACACAAATAAACCAACAGTTATAATTCACATAGAGCTAATAACAATAGTTCTTTTGGTTTGCAGGATACATAAGCCAGTAACATATGTAAGCCTTCTTCCTGTAATGTCTGTTCTGACTTCGTGTGGTGTGACAGTGAGTCGAATATGGTTAGGCTAAAGTGCACATGATGTTACTCAGATCATGACAGTGCCCCCCTAAAATAAAATTTGTGTCTTGTCAAATCCATCTGCAAACATTTTTTTTAAACAAGAAACAACAACCAAAAAAAACTAATATTCATGAAATTTTTTAGCTTAATTAATGAATTCTCACTAATTTCAATTAAAATTACTTATACATAAATTCAGTAATCTTAATCATTAAGAGATGTAACAATCCATTCAATTTTTCATTAAACCTAAATCTTTAAATTACCATAACCACATAAACAATTTAATGAAAATCAACATTAAACTTTTTAATTTTATACCAAACCATGACTAAATATTAATCATATTACATAACATTAGAAAAATTTAAAAGTCTAGCACAGGCATGGCCAGACTGCAGCTTGCAAGCCACATGCAGCTCTCCACAACCTTGCAACTCTTTGGCACTATAAATTTGCTCTCAATAAACAGTAGCTTAATTTTTGACATATAATTGCGTTTTGAAATAGAAATAATGCAATTTTTTTTTTTTATTAATTACTAATTTTCATTCTTAAAGTATTATTATGTGTATAAAAATTTAATTGATTTCGAGCTCTCCGGCATAAGTTTATCAGCCCCAGAATAACAAACAGAATTGCAAATAATTCTATTTTTGCCAATTACTATCACAGTCATGTTACTTTAGAGCAGATAATGACCATCGGGGTAGCACATAATATACGCAGGCAATTTAATGCTCTCTAATGATTTTTCCTCCGGTTAATTTTAGTTCAGATAGTTCCTGCCTATGTTCTTTCCGTGTAAACACCTTACTTTACAACAAAAGTCATGATTCAATGTCTTGGAAAATTTGCTATTCCTCCTAGGATACTAGTTTTACTCAGCGTTTGAATAGCTAGGGTAACTATTGAAAACAAAACCACTTCTATGGAAGGAAATCGCTGTCCACATGGAGTCATTTTAATCTAGGGAAAAATTTTAAATTTCTGGATTTTATAGTTAAACCTTTTACAAGTGAGCTTCAAAAATAATTTTCCATCCTTAAGCATGTTAGTTCAGTTTTATGTAATTTTCTTCAAATTTTTAGCAATTACTCGCACTGAAATAGTGCAGTTACTCTCTCTGCACCTGAAACACATTTTTTTCATTTCACATCTTTCGCAATAATGCTTTAATAATACTAGGCAAAATTTATCATTTGCATAACCAGTGGTTGAGCATGGTGAAATTTTTGGGGTTGTGGTGAGAATGGACTTCACTGGATTGACAATGATTTCAATTCTGGCCAAAATTTTTAATTTGTATTTTGTCAATTGCCATTATTTGCAATAGAAAGTTTTCACCTATATCATATCACATTCGTTTAAAAAATGTTGCATCATGCAATGTGTGGCCCACTGGACACAATTTTTCTTTTCTAATAAACATTTGTCAAGATACTGAAGACAGTGAAATTGCTTTAACTCATGATTTTTCCTCATATATTATTTGACAAACTTTTTCTTTTTAGCCCTTCACAAATATCATAAATAACATTAGGTTAGAGTTGGTGTTATGCTCTCTGCCACCCAATGCTTCTAACAATTCTCGCCTCTTTATTCTGCAGTCCAATGCAGCTGAACCGGTTGTCCTTGTTCTGGTGCATGCACTACAAATCACTTACATACTATGACGACTACCTTGGCAACATATACCGATAAAAATCCTCATTGCCGTTATTTGGTTTATGTTTATAAATTCTTTTCTTTTTAAAATAAAAGCCATAATTATAAAGAAACAAAAACTTAAAAACCAAAAATCCCGAATATTTATGTATATATTCAAATTAAAAAAAATTAACATACTTCTGATTAACAGAAAATGAAGTTAATGGTGAGGAAAGTGAAGGGAAATCGCTTTCAAAATAGCATCGAAAGGCATTTTCTGCTTATTCCACCAAATAAATTCAACTAAATAGGTATCCAAATGATGGCGGCTTGTCTCACATTGTCGCTTGTTCCTCCATTTTGCAGAATCCCACATCCTTTTAACATGTTGAGTATGAGTCTGTGTAGATGGGTCAACAAAATTGTTTCAATGATTCACCTTAAAATGTTCAAAACCAGCAGCAATAATCTTCTCTGTTTAATATCCAGGCCATGAATCTGACATTACTGTTGAGCTTCCAGCAATATTATTTTGGATTTCAAGCATTAATGTTGTTGCCTTCCGGTTTGGAACTCTGACTAGAAATGTTTCGTTTGTCTCCCGGCAAATTCCACCGAAGACCTACTGTGGCAAGATACGACCTTGATTATTCTTTCGACATGTAAAGGCTTTCGTCAATCATTCCGGGCTCTCCAATTTTAATATATCGATTATCCTCCAAGTCTTTCATGCATATAATTATTTTAATCAATAGCAGTCTTATTGGATAAATCCAACTGATGTTTGCACCATTTAATGGATGACTGTTCATATGCCCAAAAGTAAATAAATCTTAAAGCTTTTAAAATTCAATACGACTGTTTTCCAACCACGTACCAGTTCGCACACCAAACTTTTGTTGACAATTTTTGACATTGCATCTCCAATAAAATTTTGAATTATAAAACTTCAAATCATGCCCGTTTTTACAAATGCATTCTTTGGGTAAAATTCCAGCCTCTCTGAAAAGTCATTTGAAAGTAGTTGGAAAATGTTGATACCCATTCGGAAAAAAATAATCACAAAAAGTTTCACATGTTTAACCTAAACTTATAATCTGCATAAATGTAGCAAAAAAAAAAAAAAAAAAAAGGTGTGGTAATAGCAAGTGCGGTATAATACTCTATTTTAGCGCCCTCTATAACCTATGTTAGGATTAACCTGTATAACCAACAACGGTCGCCAGTTTTGGCGAGACATCTAGGTAGTTATCATAGTACGCAAGTATCCAAATCTGAAATCAGTTGATATTTTTTATCTTTGAACATCTTGTATACCTGGCATACCCTTCATGAAAGCTTAGTAGCCAAATAAATATTGTAATACTATCTGTTCCCCGATCACTAAAAATTTCAAATAATGCAGCGTAAAGTTCTGCTGGATTTTAGCCCCATAAATGTTTCATTTTGAATTGTTATCTTTCATTTTATAAACTGACCTTATACAGACTCCATTTCAAAGAATTGAAAGTGTCATTTTCTAGTGAACTCAAATAAACCTTTAGCTTCAAATAACACTAATACACTAATATATACAACTTCTCTCACCTTTAATAGATTAATACAAAACTCCCTAAAAGGATTGCAGAGTGCATTTATTAAAGCTGAATGGAAAATTTGATGGCACTGTCATTAAATTTAGCATTAGATCTCTACATTCTTCAACTATTATGTAGCATTCATGAACTGCTAGATAATTACATTAGATATCCCTCTCCATGTTTATGTCTGTGTTTATTATTAGGATATGAACAAACTTTAACATAGGTTAAACACTTGAACTTTGAAGCTCACTTTCTCAGTAAAATTTAACAAAAATAAGATAATTTAAGATGAACAATATAAAAAGAAACCGTATTTATGATCCTATAATAAATACAGATAAACCTATGAAATGAATGGTTAACTCTTTAACTTTCATTCGAGGTGATGACACTCAAAATGGCACCTACAACGGAAAAAATTCACTGTGGATTTGAACATATAAAAACTCTATTAGTAATCATTTAGAGCAGCAGTTCTCAACCTTTTGACTAATGCGTACCCCATCTAAACAAAAATTGAAAACCTTTAGTACCACCACTCTTGAACAAAGCTCACATCGCATAAATTTACGAGAGTTAAAGAAAAATCTTGATCAGGATGTTGGGGTTTTAATTTTTTAATTTAATAGTTAAAAATACTTTGCTTCTTTGTGTACCACCGGTTGAGAACCCCTGATTTAGAGACATTTCTGAATTTAATTTGCTAGAAATGCATCTAACTGTTGTAAACTAAATGAAACGGTTTAAAGGCAGGGGTGGCTTCTTTGAAAAAAAAAGTGCATTTATCCTGGTTAAGAACTAAGCAGAAGTCAACAATGGAATGACGGAAAACATCTGTGCTATTTAGCCTTAATGCCTCACAAAGTCATCATGACAACAGACAAGTAAGCAAAATTATGGCATGTGATACACAAACTTCTGCAGTTGAAGTCTTATAAATCTGAAAACACGGTCAATGCCAAAAAGTCATATAGATGAAATTTAGATTAGATGATTTTGTGGACAGACTCACATTCCACAATGAAGACTGAATTCAAAAGGAAAAAATATATGATAAGCAAAGGAAAAAATATACGATATGATGTTTCATTCATGGAAAACCCACTAGTTACATATGGAACACAAACCAATTCTCTGAAGATAAATATTTCCTGCACCTTAATACAAAACATGTCTTTTTTTTCTTCGCATAAACCATATAATTTATTTTTTGAGGATCCTTGAAAGAGAAGATTTTCTTATACCTACTTCTCAAAAGGATGTACAGCAAATAAAGCAGCAGTAACGCAAGGCAGTTGGCTCAACTGATCAAGCTATATTATCACCTATCGAGAGTTTTGTATTTATTAAT